TGTGAAATTACACTTATTTTGACGAAATTAAAATTGGATCTTCATCCCCAATTTCCACTTTTTTCCGGTACAATTTGCCTTTGCTATCGCTACAAGTTGCCGAACAAGGGAAAATTGCTTTCCCAATTCTAGATTTTCGAGTTTAAATGAAATTCCGAGTTTTTTTTTTTACCATAACCAAATGGATAAATTGCAAATTCTAAAGGGATTTTGGCATAGTGATGAAAAAATGGATCACAAAAAATTATACACATAAGATATTAGATACGCACTACATGAGCATTACAACAAGCATGCAAGAGAGATTTGCGTTTCTGCGAATGGGTATTTGAAAGGAGTTAATAGTAAGTACATTGGTGTGTCAGCATCTAGAAATATACATATACATTTTACTTAATACTATAAAATAGGTAAGGAAATTAGCTTAAGATTTTATCCCACTGCATATGAAGTTCCTAAGTCTTTCCTTTGGGTCTACTTGGATAAATTTTGTCATGACACTGTCCATCTTTTCTAGTTATCAAAAATCGTACCGTGCACGTCTAAGTCCACCAATCAGATACATTTATTAGCAACAACTTGTTTTCCGTGATATCATGTTAGAAGGCCAAAGGAGAAGCAACTTGTTCTGTTGTTCACTAACATCAACATCAATATTCATCTTCATCTTCATTTCTCAACAAACTCACATCAATTGGAAGCCCTACCACTTAGAAACTTAGACTTCTTTCATTGTCATATATAGTTATGTAGAAATTTCATATCATATTCCAATTGGAAAACTTGCACTCTCGTTCCCCATAAAGACTTGAAATTGTAAATACAATACTATGAGTTTTCTTCTAATCAAGTATTGTGCAATGACCACTACTTTGAAAATGAGGCTTTCTTGCTTTTTTCTAAAACACTTTTAACTTTTTTTTTTCTAGCTTTTAATGAATGTCTCATCTCTTTTCAAGGTCTTTTTTTTTCGTATTCACGACGCATCAATCAACATCCACATCCTCTTCAATAAATGGTTGATTTTTTCAAAGAAAACTACTATTTCTCTCTCCTTATGTAAAGTCATATTTATTTTTGTCTTTTAATAAACATGATTGCATTAGAGGAAGAAAAATGACGTGTCAAACTCACAATCCCTTTTCAAATCGTTGAAATTTCATTCGTTCAACTTTTGTGCCCCATGCTCATTTTCCATGGAAATTTAATAAAAGAAGAATAATCATTCGTTCAACTTTTGTGTTCCATGCTCATTTTTCATGGAAATTTAATAAAAGAAGAATAATCCTTTGGACAATCGTTACAACACACATAATTCCAAAATTTTGGATAGAAACTGATATGAGAGTTTTCATTCTTGGACTATTGAGTACCCAACATCCACGTCCACTTCAATGACTGAATCTCTCAATATTACGTTTTGTTTTGCTTTGTTCAAGATTCATTATTTTCATCTAATTAAAATTCGAAGAAAATTTGGCCGACTGTGAAAAGATTCAGTCTCTCAATATTATGAAAAGTTTAGGTTTTTAGTATTTTTGAATTTTAAATTTTAAAATTTTAAAATTTTCGATTTTTTTTGAATTTTTTCAATGTCCACATGCATGCCGCATCGTGGGTCAGCGAAGGTTCTCACAAAAAATCTAACGGATGTATAAAAGTGCCCCACAATTCACATAAAATCTAACAGATGTATAAAAGTGTCTCACAATTCCCACCTTAGATATGACACTGGATGAGAAAAATTCAATGTATGAAATGTTGAAAAGCAAAAAACTTCAGAGTAGTAAACTTAATCCTGGTTTTTGTTTAGCTTAACTTTTAATAAAAAGTAGGTATGAAAAAAGATTGGAACATTTTAAGTGTTTGATAAACATTTCAAATCAGTTTTTTTTCTTTCAAAATTATGGGTAAAAAAAACTGAAAACCCAAAGCTGGAAAAAGCAGCTTATTTCGAAGAAACACGGATAAACAGTAACCAATAAACTTTCCAATTTTCCAATCCTGCCCTTCTTTCTCTTTGTCGTCAGGCTCACCACTCTCGCATAAACCGGTCTCAGAGCAGATCGGAAAGAAGGCCTCTTTCCCCCAGCAGATTTCGAAGGGGAATGGGATCGTCTTCATTGACAATTAATTTCGCGTGGTGATTGATGTTGGAAGAAATCTGCGACAGCTATTCGTTTTGCTATTCGTTTGGCATAGTGATGAAAAAATGGATCACAAAAAGTAAGATATATATATAAGATATAGGATACGCACTACATAAGCATTACAACAAGCATGCAAGAGAGCTTTGCGTTTCTGCAAATGGGTATTTGAAAGAAGTTAATATTAAGTAAATTGGTGTGTCTAGAAATATGCATATACATTTTACTTAATGCCTATAAGATAGGTAAGGAAATTAGCTTAAGATTTTATCCCACTGCATATGAAGTTCCTAAGTCATTCCTTTGGGTCTACTTGGATAAATTTTGTCATGACACTGCCCATCTTCTCTAGTTATCAAAAATCGTACCGCGCACGTCTAAGTCCACCAATCAGATACATTTATTAGTAACAACTTGTTTTCTGTGATATCATGTTAGAAGGCCAAAGGAGAAGCAACTTGTTCTGTTGTTCACTAATTTCTCAACAAACTCACATCAATTGGAAGCCCTTCCATTTAGAAACTTAGACTTCTTTCATTGTCATATATAGTTATGTAGAAATTTCATATCATATTCCAATTGGAAAACTTGCTCTCTCGTTCCCCATAAAGACTTGAAATTGTAAATACAATACTATGAGTTTTCTTCTAATCAAGTATTGTGCAATGACCACAACTTTGAAAATGAGGCTTTCTTGCTTTTTTTCTAAAACACTTTTAACTTTTTTTTCTTCTAGCTTTTAATGAATGTCTCAACTCCTTTCAAGGTCCTTTTTTTCGTATTCACGACGCATCAATCAACATCCACATCCTCTTCAATAAATGGTTGATTTTTTCAAAGAAAACTACTCCTTCTCTCTCCTTATGTAAAGTCATATTTATTTTTGTCTTTTAATAAACATGATTGCATTAGAGGAAGAAAAATGACATGTCAAACTCACAATCCCTTTTCAAATCGTTGAAATTTCATTCGTTCAACTTTTGTGCCCCATGCTCATTTTCCATGGAAATTTAATAAAAGAAGAATAATCATTCGTTCAACTTTTGTGCTCCATGCTCATTTTTCATGGAAATTTAATAAAAGAAGAATAATCCTTTGGACAATCGTTGCAACACACATAATTCCAAAATTTTGGATAGAAACTGATATGAGAGTTTTCATTCTTGGACTATTGAGTACCCAACATCCACGTCCACTTCAATGACTGAATCTCTCAATATTACGTTTTGTTTTGCTTTGTTCAAGATTCATTATTTCATCTAATTAAAATTTGAAGAAAATTTGGCTGACTGTGAAAAGATTCAGTCTTTCAATATTATGAAAAGTTTAGGTTTTTAGTATTTTTGAATTTTAAATTTTAAAATTTTAAAATTTTTTGAATTTTTTGAATTTTTTTAATGTCCACATGCATGCCGCATCGTGGGTCAGCGAAGGTTCTCACAAAAAATTTAACGGATGTATAAAAGTGCCACGCAATTCACATAAAATCTAACGGATGTATAAAAGTGTCCCACAATTCCCACCTTAGATATGACACTGGATGAGAAAAATTCAATGTATGAAATGTTGAAAAGCAAGAAACTTCAGAGTAGTAAACTTAATCTTGATTTTTGTTTAGCTTAACTTTTAATAAAAAGTAGGTATGAAAAAAGATTGGAACATTTTAAGTGTTTGATAAACATTTAAAATCAGTTTTTTTTCTTTCAAAATTATGGGTTAAAAAACACTGAAACCCAAAGCTGGAAAAAGCAGCTTATTTCGAAGAAACACGGATAAACAGTAACCAATAAATGAACTTTCCAATTTTCCAATCCTGCCCTTATTTCTCTCTGTCGTCAGGCTCACCACTCTCTCGCATAAACCGGTCTCAGAGCAGATCTGAAAGAAGGTCTCTTTCCCCAGCAGATTTCGAAGGGGAATGGGATCGTCTTCATTGACAATTAATTTCGCGTAGTGATTGATGTTGGAAGAAATCTGCGACAGCTATTCGTTTTGCTATTGTCGGAACCTTGGATGAAATGGCAGAGTCTGTGATGGTTTTTCCGTTAGATTTCGCAGTAGCCGCCATGGCTGAGCTTGCAACAGGTTATCACGCCTCAATAGTGTTTGAAATCAAAGCAAAATTAGTAAATTAGTGTTGATTTTACACTGTAAACAAAAACCCAGAAGAGAATTGATAAAAAAAAAGAAAAAAAAACCCAAAAAGAGGAAGAGAGAAAAATATTACATCTTTGAAGTGGGTTTTTAGTTTTTGGAATTGTGAGGTTCTTGAAATGATATAATCAGCCATTTTTTGAAATTATTGGATTCTGGGGTGGGTTTAGGAGAGGGTTTGATTTTGGACTGGGATTAAATGGGTGGGTGGCTGCATCTGTTCGACTGGTGAGATGGGGGTGGCTCTCGTGTTTTGGGTTGATTGAATGAATAATGGCAGTGGTAGGTGAATGGGTGAAAAATGGCGGTTTGGGAAGCTGAGAGTGGGTTGTCGGGATGACATGTAGTAGTGGCTGGGTTCAAGTTGGTCGGAGAAGATGGAGGTGGGTGGGTTCTTCGGTTTAATCGCACATCCAGTATTATACCCTCAAATTATTTTACACAGAAAAAGATCATCGTCGGATTTTTTTCTGAGGATCCGAAGGATTTCATGATCGTGACCGTTGATTGTATGTGTTCAGTTTTTATTATGTATTATTTATACTTAATTTTAGGAATTTCATTTGAATGATTAATATTAGGTGTTTTTTTATATAAAATAAGAATTTCAAAATCTATCTCTGAAGAACAATTTTTTTGTTAATTACAGTGTCCCTCGTCAATGTGAGAGAGAGAGAGAGAGAGAGAGAGAGAGTGAGTGACCGTGTCAAACACCAAGGCCGACTTTTCTCTATAGGACACCATTGACCGACTTTTCCCTAGGATATTTGCCGGGCTTACTGCAACTTTAAGCGAAGCGCTTTAACCCCTCCCATATTATATAACTCCTTGGTGTTCAAGCTATAGTACCCTCTCTCTCTCTCTCTCTCTCTCTCTCTCTCTCTCTCAGATCAATGGAAATTAGTGGAAGCAGGTCCTTCACCTTAAGTTTAGCCTTTCTTCTTCTTTGCTTTTGCAGTGAAACTTGTAACGCTGACAACAGTAGTGCCAAGTCCTGCACTTCATCCTGCGGCCATATCCACTACATAAGCCATCCTTTTCGACTGAACGATGATCCAAAGTACTGTGGCAACATAATGTATACTCTGTACTGTGAGAGCAACATTACTGTACTAGACGTACCTTCTTCCGGAAAATACTATGTCCAGGCAATCAACTACATTAACAATACAATCCGAGTTCTAGATCCTGGGCTTGACAACAACAATTGCTCTTCCATGTCTCAAAATATTCCGCCCACCACCGAGGACATCAATTCTCCATATTGGCCCACCTATGACATCAATTCTCTATCTATATATTACTTGAAGTGTTCGAATCCATCGAATTCTTCTCTGTACGTGGACACTGCTCCATGCTTGAATAATACTTCTTCTTCTTCTTCGAGTCAACCAAAAACGTATAGCTATGTCATGGTCGCTGACTATGTCGGGGGCAGGTTGGAAGCATGGGATTTGGATGAGGGTTGCAGTGTAGAGTGGATGAGTTTGGCTGCCGGCTACGTTGAAGACTACAGCAACTTCTCTTATAAAGACATACACAATGCCCTCATGTATGGCTTTGAGCTTCGTTTCGGGGAAGATAGATGCCCAGGACAGTGGACTGCGGTTGATGTGTCTACATGTTTTCCTCACACCATTTCAGGTGCGTCAATTCTCGACTAAATTAATAACTTTTGTAATCGGAAATATAATTGCCTTGTCAAACTAGGAACATATAACAAACATTCAAGCAAGAATAAAACCCTTGTTAATTGTTCGGGTTCACGCACTGACTAAATTAGTCTAGGTATATCCTAATTCTGCAATCCATTATATGAGACTTAAAGGTATCAACATGTCACTTTGTGGTATTCCACTAAACTAGTAGGTAGGTGGCCTCATGTTTGACTCGCATAAATGACGAGTTTGTCATTATTGATGACCCATTGTGTGATTTAATTTAAACTATAAAATGTGCCCGCACTTCGTTGCCGGGGATGAATGTATTATTCACAACAGGAATGAATAATTTCCACAAAAAGTGGGCAAAATGGTGGTAGGAACAGAATCACATTCTCAAATGTAGCGACTCAGATAACATATATTTGAGCTAAGTGAATCCAACAAAATCACCAATCCACATACGCATCTTCAAATAATTTAAATAAGCAAGTGATAAGTGATATCGGCTGGTAAGATCAGCTTGGTTTTCATTTTGATTTAATTCAGCCGACATCAAGAGCCATATACAATTTAACAGGATGAAGACATATACAGTAGCCTTCCCAGTAGAGCTATATATAATAGGGAATTGTTATTGGCACTCCAAAATTCTCATTTTGCCCTTCAAACTTTCCATAATTAAAAAGAAAAATACACTTGTCGCGAGTGTAGAATGAGTTTTTTAGAGTGCTAATAACAGTTTCTTATATAGTATCTTATAAATAAATGAATCACAAATGATACTATAGTTGTTAAAAAATCCCATTACTCAAAACTCCAATTCCCTCCCATTACTGAAAGCTCCAATTCCATCAAAACCGAGATGGTAAAAGTACAAACTGGCTAGTTTCCACCAAAAAAAAAAGTACAAACTGGTTACAAAAATATGTTTTGTCCCATCCAATTGACGATAAGCAAAACAAATTACGAAAAGCAAAGTAATCAAACAGCCAAAAAATTAGAATGAAATCCTAAAACATTCTCATATTTGATAAAGTCAGCATCTACCTCATGTTCAGCTAACCCATTAAGAAAAACGATAAAGGTCATTGGGAATGAAAAGTCGTTTATTCATAATTGATGAGACCTTATAAATCTGATTTGGCAAACGGCTCCTCAGCTCTTCATGGTTGTAAATCTCTCCATTCACCTTAATGATTTTCAAAACAAACATCATATCAGTAATTGTAAATTGAAAATTTTATCTCTTTTCGTCAATTGGATGGGACAAAACATATTTTTGTAACCAGTTTGTACTTTTTTTTTTGGTGGAAACTAGCCAGTTTGTACTTTTACCATCTCGGTTTTGATGGAATTGGAGCTTTCAGTAATGGGAGGGAATTGGAGTTTTGAGTAATGGGATTTTTTAACAACTATAGTATCATTTGTGATTCATTTATTTATAAGATACTATATAGTATCTTATATAGTATCTTATAATTTTATCTCTTTTTTCAAATATTCAATAAATTAAACCACAAAATTAAAAAATATATGACACGACCTTGTAAGCAACAGAAGAGATGAAGCGGTGAGTGAGAAAAAAGTGGTAAGCGAGAGAAGCGGTGAGAGTGCATCCAGGAAGAATGTAAACAGAAGGCAAAAATTGAAGGCAAAACTGAATTCCTCTTGACTACCTATTTAGTGAGTTCTTGGCCCTATTTAGAGAGTTCCTGGAATGAAATGAAGCCAACTCTGCAACAAAGAAACAAACGAAAAAGTCAGAATCCAGAAATCCAAGTTTAACTCAATCAAATATAATAACCAATGAAAGTTGCAAACTGCAAATTCTCGCAATGTAGACAAAGAAACTTGTTTCTCAAAGACATAATTGGTCTCTCTTTGTGAATACAACATTTGGAAAACCAAACAATAATTAATAAAATAGAAAATTGAAGTACGTGGCAAGTTTTTCTTTTTATACAAACCGTCATCTCCACTTGCTTTAAGTAAGGAGGAAGTGTGAACCACCTTTCATCACCCTTTATTCAAAACATCACAACACCTGCACTTATATAAAGGAAAAAAGAAATGAACAAAAATAAAATTATACTACAATCCAATTATATGAAGGCCAAACTCTTGAGTTGGGGCTGGTGGCCGTCGACCACATCATCAACTCCATTTGAGAGAACAGGGTTTGTTTGGCTCTTTTGTCCAATTATTTACACTAACCATATCTAAATAAAGAAGGAAAACACCTATGTTGCTCCCTTCTTGTGATCCAAATTTGAAGACGGCCGATGGGGAATGGCAGTTATAAGTGTCATCCTCTTTGTTTCTCCTATCCCTGCATTGTCAACCAAAACAACATCAAAACAATCCAATGTAATGCTCACAAAATTTGAGCTCCAAACAAAGTCACAGGTCAGCAATCACCTAATTGATCATAACACCATTCGCAAATATGAAAAACATAAACAATTAAGTCAGCAACATAATATGCCATCCCTTTCATACAAACACAGATTGCAATTCATATATGCCACATTATTCACAAACAATTACAAATCAATAAACAATTAAATCATCATCATGAATTACAGTGTAATATCAACACCATCAATTAGAAAAGACAGAGCTACATGGGAATAAACATACAGAGAGAAACTACTTCAGATCCTTCCCAAAAGCAATCTTCTGCAGGATAACAAAAGAGTAGTTGATCTCTGATCTAATTGTAGACGCAATCTGCAATAACCAACTTCTATGGAATTTGAACTAGTGAAATGTGGGGTGGAGATCTGAATGTAACAAATTGGTGTTAAGTAAATAATTCCAAACATATGAAATTTAGATCATCACACCCGAACGCAAACAGAACAATTAAATAAAGAATCGAAGGCATCCACAATCTAATTAGACAAATAAGCAGTGTTCTAAAAAACGGCCTAGGCGGCCGCCTAGGCGCTAGGCGGAGGGTGGCCAAGGCGTTTTTGTGCAAAACGGTGGGAAAAAACGGCTGGGCTCTAGGCGGTGGCTAAGCGGCACCTAGGCGGGCTAGGAGGCGCCTAGGCAGGCTAGGCGGCTGGCGGAGCTAGGCGGTTTTCTTTTTGTTTTTTTGTTTTTAAGTTCCCGTGCCTTGCAGCTACCCTAATTTCAGAAACTAAGTCTCTTCGTCTCTTCTTCCTCAACTGCAGTGCACTCACCTGCTGCAACTTCAAGAGGTTTCCTGGGTCATCGACTCATCGTCGTCGATCGTCACTCCCAATTTCCAGAGTCTCCACTCTCCACTTGCTCTCGCATCTCGATTCTTCATAACTTGGCTGCGACTTCAAGTCGAGGAGCTCGTCGATTACGAAGAGAGAGAGAGAGAGATTACCGGAGAATTTCTGTAACTCATCTCTGTGAAGATGAGGGAATAGAGAGTGAGAAGAGGGAGAAAGAGATGAACAATGAAACATTTCAATATTTGATGGCGATGAATGGGATCTCAGATTCTCAAATCCAAGGAAAAGTTGGTAGTTCTAATTATCAAAACCATGGATGTTGATGGTTTTAATTATCAAAACCACCCAAGGTGATGGACGGGTGATGTGAAAAGGTGAGGTGCTAATGGGTTTAATAATGAAGACCACACACACATGTCCACCATAAACCCTAGCAGGAAATTTTGACTAAGCATTGGTGTATCCGATACAGCAAGAATCTCCAGATTTGCACACATGTCGTGCATCCGAGTAGGGTGCTCCTTAGGATTCTAAAATAAAGACTAAAATATGCTCTATTTCTGAGTGTGCTTTTAGAAACCCTACGCCCCTCTCCCAATGCTATTTATATTTTTAAAAGTTTGGGATATATATATATATATATATATATATATATATATGTTATAAAAATTATTTAGATAATATTTTTTTTTCCTAGACAAATATATTATATATGTACATAAAACATTCACTATGTATGTTCTTCTATAAGAAATAACATATTAGTTAATAATTATTTACATTTGATATAGTAAATTTAATTAATTCATAAAATATATAAGAAATTTACCTAAATCCGCCTAGGCCGCCTAGGCGCCCGCCTAGATCCCGCCTAGATCCCGCCTAGCCGCCTAGCCGCTAGGCGCTAGCCCACCGCCCAACTAACGCCTAGCGTTTTTTAGAACCTTGCAAATAAGTGAACTTTCCCATGCCAAAATCCGAAAGGCCAACGGAAATCTCTCATTACAGCACAGAAGACAAAACTTAAAAGACAAAACTTAGAGAACAAAACTTAAAAGACAAAACTTAAAGAACAAAACTTAAAAGACAAACTTAAAGGACAAAACTTAAAACTAATCAAAATTAGGTGAACCAATTGAAGAGAACATAACCCTTGTAACCAATCTGGAAAAGATGCTTTTAAATCCCAGAACAAAAAAATTATGAGTTTTCAAAACATTTAGGATTAAACAGAAAATATAACTAAAAATGCCAACTTTCTCAAAAAACTACCAACTACTTTAACAAATTTCCATCACCCAACACTGAAAAATGAGAATCACGAAGCAACGAAGAACGGAAAACGCTAGAACTGAAACATTAAAAACAACACATACCCATTTCAAAGACCAAAAATCCTGCAAGGACAAAAAAAATCCCAGAAAATCAGTACATTAGTACTCCCTGCAAAACCCCAACAACAACAACAACAACAACAAAGCCTTTTCCCACTAAGTGGGGTCGGCTATATGAATCCTAGAACGTCATTGCGCTCGGTTTTGTGTCATGTCCTCCATTAGATCCAAGTACTCTAAGTCTTTTCTTAGAGTCTCTTCCAAAGGTTTTCTAAGTCTTCCTCTACCCCTTCGGCCCTGAACCTCTGTCCAGTAGTCACATCTTCGAACCGGAGCGTCAGTAGGCCTTCTTTGCACATGTCCAAATCACCGGAACCGATTTTCTCTCATCTTTCCTTCAATTTCGGCTACTCCTACTTTACCTCGGATATACTCATTCCCAATCTTATCCTTTCTCGTGTGCCCACACATCCCACGAAGCATCCTCATCTCCGCCACACCCATTTTTGTGTACGTATTGATGCTTCACCGCCCAACATTCTGTGCCATACAACATCGCTGGCCTTATTGTCGTCCTATAAAATTTTCCCTTGAGCTTCAGTGACCTATGACGGTCACACAACACGTCGGATGCACTCTTACACTTCATCTATCCAGCTTGTATTCTATGGTTGAGATCTCCATCTAATTCTCCGTTCTCTTGCACGATAGATCTTAGGTAGCGAAAACGGTCGCTTTTTGTGATCTTCGCTAGATTGCTCCGGTCATTAGTATGGATAAGTATATAAATGGATAGAGATAGGAAAGCAAACACAAGATGTACGTGGTTCACCCAGATTGGCTACGTCCACGGAATAGAGGAGTTCTCATTAATTGTGAAGGGTTTACACAAGTACATAGGTTCAAGCTCTCCTTTAGTGAGTACAAGTGAATGATTTAGTACAAATGACATTAGGAAATATTGTGGGAGAATGATCTCGTAATCACGAAACTTCTAAGTATCAGAGTGTGGTATCGTCTTGACGTGCCTTATCTGTCTCATAGGTAGATGGGGCATCTTCTCTGGAAGTACTCTTCCTCCATCCAGGGGTAGTATCTTTAACTGGTGGAGATGCACAAGGTAATGTATCAATTTCACTTGAAGCTTACTTGTAGTTTCAGGCTTGGTCAAGCGCGATACAAACCATGTAGTAGGAGTCCCCCAAATCGCCGAGCTAGGGGATCTGCTGAAAGAGGTGACAGACAAGGTAAGCAATCATAGCTCCAGCTGATTGTTCACAATCTCCCTATCTTGCAGGCAGCATGAAGGATAAAGAGAAGAAAATGAGAAGAGATGATATGTGATACTTTTGCTTTTGAAGAAGTAACTTTCCACAAGCTTATTCTTGCACTGAGCTGGAGAAATTTCTGGTTTCCTCCAGAGTATAAGGCCGACTGAAGAATTTGAGGGTCAAAACAAGTCCATCAAATCTAGAGTACGTTCGACCCTACTGATATGGGATACTTTTGCTTTGACAGAGTAATGGATGTATCGGCACGTGTGCTGTTACGCTTGTCTCCACATGCTTCCTTATATCCTTCTCCCTTGCCCTATCTGTTCCTCAGGCAGATGCGGTATCTTCCCTGGAAGCATAAGATGTTGAAGATGAGTACTCGAGAACAATGTCAGGTAAGTAATCAGGTAAGGGGTTCCAGGCAGTCAGTTCCTGGCTGGAAGCTTGATTCCAAGTACTGACTGATTGCTCTCTTTCTTCTTGTCTTGCAGGTAAGAACAAGGCCAAAGAAAAAGACAAGGAAAAAGCATGATATGGGATACTCTTGCTTTTAACCCTGATGATATGAGATATTCTTGCTCTAGTATAGCTTGTTTGCAGAGGTATTATCGGGGGGAAAGAAAGCTGAATATTTCGAAAGGCTTCGTTGGGAGTGCCCTCTCAGATATGAGGAAGAGTTGAGCATTTTTGCAGGTCTGCCTATCCGTTGGGGATGGAGGTCGACATATATAGGAGTCTCCTTAACAACAAGTAGTAATGCTATTCCTTTACCCTACTTGGTCATAGCACGGTAGTGGAAGCTGCCAGCTTCACATGTTTTAACGTTGTCAGATCACTTTGAAAAAGTGGTCTGTGGTAGCTGGAAAGCTAATGTTGCGAGTGAAGATTACAGATAGCTTTATCCAAGGAGATCCGGCTCTTGAAATTGGGAAAGTGTTGCCTCTTCGGTTTTCGAACAAGCAATCCTATCGGGGATCTGGCTCTCGAGATTCGGAGAACGGTGCCTCTTCGATTTTTGAGAAAGCAATCATGCTGGGGGTCTGGCTCTCGAGATTCGGAGAGCGATGTCTCTTCGATTTTTGAGAAAGTAGTCATGTTGGGAGTGGCTCTCGAGATTCGGAGGGCGATGCTTCTTCGATTTTGGAGCAAGCAATCTTGTTGGGAGTGTTTTCTCGAATGTGAGTAAAGGTTGGGCATGTTTGCTAGTCTACCTTGCCACGAAGCACAGAGGTTGACACACAGGGACTTTCAAATTATCCAGCAATGGTACTGTTCCTTTACCCTCTTCGATTTTTGAGAAAGTAGTCATGTTGGGAGTCTGGCTCTCGAGATTCGAAGGACGGTGCCTCTTCGATTTTGGAGCAAGCAATCTTGTTGGGAGTGTTTTCTCGAATGTGAGTAAAGGTTGGGCATGTTTGATAGTCTACCTTGCCACGAAGCACAGAGGTTGACACACAGGGACTTTCCAATTATCCAGCAGTGGTACTGTTCCTTTACCCTTGTGGGTAATAATATGGTAGCTCGACCATCAAAATTTATGTGTCTAAACTTTGTTAGTGTTGTTTCTTTGCTATTCTTTTACCCTTCTTGATCAGAGCGATGTAGTGGGAGCTGCAAACTTCACGTGTTCAACTTTGGCAGAGAACTTTGGAAAAGTTATATGTGGTACCCATGAGCTACTGTTGCGTGTGGGAAGTGGGTGATTGAACAGTAAGACTCATGTGCTTTCTACTTCACCAGAAGTCTTCGACCGAATCCCCATAATTTTCGCAAAGCTGAGTGTGTGTGTGACAGGTACTGACAAGGCTGGAAAAGTAGGTGCCTCTTCGATTTCTGAGATCGGCCCTCGTGGTCTCTGAGCAGCCCAACTTTTGAGCGCCTCTTCGATTTCTGAGATCGGCCTTCGTGGTCTTTGCGCTGCCCAGCTTTTGAGAAAGCAAACGCCTCTTCGATTTCTGAGATCGACCCTCGTGGTATCTGAGCAGCCTTGCTTTTGAGAAAGCAAACGCCTCTTCGATTTCTGAGCAGGCGCCTCTTCGATTTCTGAAGCTCCGTTGAGTGCAGATTTTTATAGGGGCTGACATTAAGTTCCAAAGCACACTTGAATCTCCACCAGTAGAAGCTCCATTCTTACACTTCTAAGATCTTGATTTGTCCGACCTCTTCTCTCTTCAACACATTTGAAAATGTCTGGCCCCTCCGACCGTCGTTTTGACTTGAACCTTGTTGAAGAGGAAGCCCCGCCTTCTCCAGACAACATATGGCGCCCATCCTTCGTCTCCCCTACTGGTCCTCTTACCGTTGGGGATTCCGTGATGAAGAATGATATGACCGCTGCGGTGGTGGCCAGGAACCTTCTCACTCCCAAAGATAACAGACTACTTTCCAAACGGTCTGATGAGTTAGCTGTTAAGGATTCTCTGGCTCTCAGTGTTCAGTGTGCAGGTTCTGTGTCTAATATGGCCCAACACCTATTTGCTCGAACCCGCCAAGTTGAATCATTGGCGGCTGAAGTGATGAGTCTCAAACAGGAGATTAGAGGGCTCAAGCATGAGAATAAACAGTTGCACCGGCTCGCACATGACTATGCTACAAACATGAAGAGGAAGCTTGACCAGATGAAGGAATCTGATGGTCAGGTTTTACTTGATCATCAGAGATTTGTGGGTTTGTTCCAAAGGCATTTATTGCCTTCGTCTTCTGGGGCTGTACCGCGTAATGAAGCACCAAATGATCAACCTCTTATGCCTCCTCCTTCTAGGGTTCTGTCCAGTACTGAGGCTCCGAATGATCCCCCTCCGGTGCCTTCTCTTTCTGGGGCTCTACCGACTGCTGAGACTTCTCCTAAGCAACCTTTGTGAAGGCTCCCTCTTGTTTGTTTATTTTGACTTATGTATATGTACATATTTGTAGCTTATCGATGATATCAATAAATAAGCTTTCCTTCATTTCAACGTATTGTGTTAAATACATCAAAGCCTTCTTCGCTAAGTTCTTTGAATTTTCTTTTGTTGAAGCTTTGTGAGTGGAGCATGTAGGTTGGGGTAGTGTTCCCTTAATTTCCTGAGTGAGGAAAACTTCTCGGCTGGAGACTTGGAAAATCCAAGTCACTGAGTGGGATCGGCTATATGAATCTTAGAACGCCATTATGCTCGGTCCTGTGTCATGTCCTTCGTTAGATCCAGGTACTCTAAGTCTTTCTTAGAGTCTCTTCCAAAGTTTTTCTAGGTCTTCCTCTACCCCTTCGGCCCTGAACCTCTGTCCAGTAGTCACATCTTCTAATCGGAGCGTCAGTAGGCCTTCTTGGCACATGTCCAAACCACCGTCACCGATTTTCTCTCATCTTTCCTACAATTTCGGCTACTCCTACTTTACCCCGGATATCCTCATTCCTAATCTTATCCTTTCTCGTGTGCCCACACATCCAACGAAGCATCTTCATCTCCGCTACACCCATTTTGTGTACGTGTTGATGCTTCACCGCCCAACATTATGTGCCATACAGCATCGCCGGCCTTATTGCCGTCCTATAAAATTTTCCCTTGAGCTTCAGTGGCATACGGCGGTCACACAACACGCCGGATGCACTCTTCCACTTCATCCATCCAGCTTGTATTCTATGGTTGAGATCTCCATCTAATTCTCCGTTCTTTTGCAAGATAGATCCTAGGTAACGAAAACGGTCGCTCTTTGGTATTTCTTGATCTCCGATCCTCACCCCTAACTCGTTTTGGCCTCCATTTGCACTGAACTTGCACTCCATATATTTTGTCTTTGATCGGCTTAGGCGAAGACCTTTAGATTCCAACACTTCTCTCCAAAGGTTAAGCTTTGCATTTACCCATTCCTGTGTTTCATCTATCAACACTATATCGTCTGCGAAAAGCATACACCAAGGAATATCATCTTGAATATGTCTTGTTAACTCATCCATTACCAACGCAAAAAGGTAGGGACTTAAGGATGAGCCTTGGTGTAATCCTACAGTTATGGGAAAACTTTCAGTTTGTCCTTCATGAGTTCTTACAGCAGTCTTTGCTCATTCATACATATCATTTATAGCTTGGATATATGCTACTCGTACTCCTTTCTTCTCTAAAATCCTCCAAAGAATGTCTATTGGGACCCTATCATACGAATTTCTCCAAATCTATAAAAACCATGTGTAAATCCTTTTTCCCATCTCTATATCTTTCCACCAATCTTCGTAAGAGATAGATTGCCTCCATGGTTAAGCGCCTTGGCATGAACCCAAATTGGTTGTCCGAAACCCGTGTCTCTTGCCTCAATCTATGCTCAATGACTCTCTCCCAGAGCTTCATTGTATGACTCATTAGCTTAATACCCCTATAGTTCATGCAATTTTGTACGTCGCCCTTATTCTTGTAGATAGGCACCAAAGTGCTCGTTCGCCACTCATTTGGCATCTTCTTCGTTTTCAAAATCCTATTGAAAAGGTCAGTGAGCCATGTTATACATGTCTCTCCCAAAACTTTCCACACTTCGATTGGTACATCGTCTGGGCCTATTGCTTTTCTATGTTTCATCTTCTTCAAAGCTACAATCACTTCTTCCTTCCGGATTCGACGATAAAAAGAGTAGTTTCTACACTCTTCTGAGTTACTCAACTCCCCTAAAGAAGCACTCCTTCCATGTCCTTCATTGAAAAGATTATGAAAATAACCTCTCCATCTGTCTTTAACCGCGTTCTCTGTAGCAAGAACATTTCCATCCTCATCCTTGATGCACCTCACTTGGTTTAGGTCCCTTGTCTTCTTTTCCCTTGCTCTAGCTAGTTTATAGATATCCAACTCTCCTTCTTTGGTATCTAGTCGTTTATACATATCGTCGTAAGCCGCTAACTTAGCTTCTCTCACAGCTTGCTTCGCTTTTCTATACCTTTCACCATTTTCATCAGTTCTATCCTTGTATAAGGCTTTACAACATTCCTTCTTAGCCTTCACCTTTGTTTGTACCTCCTCATTCCACCACTAAGATTCTTTTTGGTGTGGGGCAAAGCCTTTTGACTCTCCTAATACCTCTTTTGCTACTTTTCGGATACAACTAGCCATTGAATCCCACATTTGGCTAGCTTCCCCATCTCTATCCCACACACTGGATGATTACTTTCTCTTTGAAAATGGCTTGTTTTTCTTCTTTTAGATTCCACCATCTAGTCCTTGGGCACTTCCAAGTCTTGTTCTTTTGTCTCACTCTTTTGATATGTACATCAATCACCAACAAGCGATGTTGATTAGCCACGCTCTCTCCTGGTATAACTTTGCAATCCTTACAAGTTATACGATCCCCTTTCCTCATTAGAAGAAAATCTATTTGTGTTTTTGACGACCCACTCTTGTAGGTGATCACATGTTCTTCTCTCTTCTTAAAGAATGTGTTGGCTAAGAAGAGATCATATGCCATTGCAAAATCCAAGATAGCTTCCCCATCCTCGTTTCTCATTAGAAGAAAATCTATTTGTGTTTTTGACAACCCACTCTTGTAGGTGATCACATGTTCTTCTTTCTTCTTAAAGAAGGTGTTGGCTAAAAAGAGATCATATGCCATTGCAAAATCCAAGATAGCTTCCCCATCCTCATTTCTCTCCCCAAAACCATGGCCACCATGAAAACCTCCATAGTTGCCTGTCTCTCTGCCCACGTGTCCATTTAAATCTCCTCCTATAAATAACTTCTCCGTCTGAGCAATTCCTTACACCAAGTCTCCAAGGTCTTCCCAAAATTTCTCCTTCGAACTCGTATCCAACCCTACTTGAGGTGCGTACGCACTAACCACATTGATAAGTTCTTGTCCTATTACAATCTTGATTGCCATGATTCTATCTCCTACCCTCTTGACATCTACAACATCTTGTGTCAAGGTCTTGTCCACGATGATGCCAACACCGTTTCTCGTTCTATTTGTGCCCGAATACCAAAGTTTAAACCCTGAGTTTTCTAGATCAATTGCCTTACTACCAACCCACTTAGTTTCTTGTAGGCACATAATATTTATCCTTCTCCTCACCATAACTTCCACTACTTCCATAGATTTTCCCGTTAAGGTTCCTATATTCCACGTTCCTAAACGCATTTTGCTTTCTTGAACTCTACCCTTCTGTCCTAGCTTCTTCACCCTCCCCCGTCTAATAGGATCAAAGTACTTCTTTTGTGTGTCCCGTGTAAAGTTGATAGGAGCATATGCTCCCAAACAACTTTGAGTGGAGTCGTTCGAAAAGAAGTTCCTATGCCCCCCTTGCTCATTTAACACTGCATCCGGGTGCCGATGGAGATACAGCGACCCTTGCTCACTTATCACTGTGCTCGGGCCACACAGCGCGCCACTTACGGGTGACGCCCTAGCTTTAGCGCAATTTTATTCTGAATTCATTTTCATAAGGATTCGACGTGATCATGGAGTGCCGACTGTCGACTACCTGACGCCCTCCCCCTCCTCCTTTATCCGAGCTTGGGATCGGCAATGTAAGTACATAGGCGGAGTTCTCCCTGCAAAACCCCAAAATCAGAAAATTAGAAAAAGAACCCAAATCAGTGGCATGGTCCTCGTTTCTCCATTAATCTGTAGCTAATGACCTAATGAAAAAGAACCCAAAACAGACTGCTTAAATTATGGTAAGTGCTTATAAAGCTCATGAATAACTTTCAGAGCCTGCATAGAAATGGCATAGTGATATCGTAGATAATAACAGGCAATAAAACTATGCACAGTATAACCTAAATCCGATATGTTGCATTCCACACACACATATAGATATATCTACATATACATAGATGACCCACAGAGATTAACACCATGCGGATGTGTGCGCGGGCACAAACATAAAATATACATGCATACTTAATTTTAGACAATAATACCTCACAACATAAGTTGCAATTTGGGACTATTTGGTTGACTCAAAAGAAATTGATGGGTTAGAAAAAGCACAAAAAAATACAGAGACGGATGTTTTTATGTCATTCATCTCTTATGTCGACAAAACACACACACCTGTGTTTTAATGCTCCTCCAATACTCAATGAGAAGGCACCAGGCAAGAAGAAGGTCAAGGCTGGAAAGAAGCTTCCAAAGAGAACAATCTATAAAGCAGACCACAAAAATTAGACAAAACCCAAAAACCAAACAGTAGAAAAATCTCTAAAATGAAGAAAAAAAAAACTAAACTGCAAATACTCAAGCCTTTGCGTTCACAGCTGTTGGATAGACGCAAAGACTGAAGGGAAGTCAATTTGGCCATCATCTCACGTGATGGGAATTCTAATTTCTTGCAATCTGTTATGCTCAGTGATGTCAGCGTGGTGGGCAGACCATTTGTAAGGAACGACAAGGGTGAGGAACATTTATATAAAGTCAAACTTTGAAGACGATTGCTGTTGTGCACCATTTGCGCCAACAACTCTTTCCCACCACATTATCAATATCAAGCTTCTGAAGCGACGGCAGCGTCTCCGTCGACTCTAGTAACAATGAGAGACCCGGGCATCCATTTATTGTCAGTTTTTCAAGAGATCCTCGTAAGGATTCCACGTTCAGGGTATTACTGGCCCTGTTTTTATGTAGAACCTCACACTTGTTCACATGAAGTGTTTTCAAGGAGGGAAGATGAGTGGGCAAGTTTCCTCTCAGCTTCGGACATTCGTATAACCCCAGCTCCTTAAGATGAGGAAAGTCTGGACTTTCACATCCACTTGGACTAGGCTGCTATAGCTCCCGAAACTTTAGCTTCTCTAAACATTGAAATGGTTGATTTCCCCCGTACAACTCAACACCAACACTCTTAACAACTTTCATCCCTTCTACGTATAGCTCTTTCAGAGCAGGTAGCTGACCAACTGGTGGCAATGAACTGCAATTACCACAGTCACTGAGAAGCATCACTAGATCGGGGCCATAAAACTGGCTGCTAACCAACACAAAAAAAAAAGATACGCTTGAGTTGTTAATCAAATCAACACACACAAAAAATTAACAACGCGAGAAACAACAGCAAGCATACCAGCAGCAGCGGGCAGGCACATCCTGTCACACATTCGCACATTGAAATTGAATGCACTTTCATATGTGTTGTCATAAGGATGCAAATTAATTGCTGCATCTCGTGTTTTATTAATTTTTATTCTATAAAAAAATACAAATCACATACATACTCCAAAAACCAAAAAGAGAATGCTGGAAAGGAGAAATTAGAAATCATATTGAAGAGCCTTCCAACGCACGTTAATAATCTAATTAATTAATGTGATTTGAGAAACAAACCCCTTTTCAGGCATGACTGATCAGATCCTGCTCTTGCATTGCTGGTTCTACACAATGCCCAATACACAAAATCCCAAAAAAAATAAAATTAATACATCGTCCATACAAAATCAACCAACAAATAAAAAAATCATATTTTCAATCACTTTCTCATCCAAATAGAACACAGACTGAAAAACGATTAATCACCTGTATGGGGGAACAAGCTGCTGATACCCTTCATGGCCAAAGCCGACACAATCTCCTATAATTTCCTCATACTTCGTTTTTCTTTGACAATTTACAAATGCAAAATTTGGATGCTGCAGCGGAAGATCATGCTACAAATTCAAACACAAAATTCAACATTCACAATGCAAAAATGCAAACTAAACACAAAATCAATGCTTTCAAAGTCGTATGGCATATTGGCTTATCACAATTGTTTAGTGTAAATTTACCCACATATTATATATGGATAAATTTAAGTAAAAAAATAAATGATAACTAAATCATACACTGGTAGTCTCCGAATTCCCCCAGCAAGCAAACCGCTGATGGGTTCCCTTGAAAGCTTAGTTAGTGAACGGGCCCACCTGCACACTCACTTCAGAAATTTTAACCATTCATTTGAATGAAGACAAATTATCAGTAAAACCCCACCCCGAATCCCCGCGCTCAATTCCATGCGAAAATCCCATGGTGTGAAATTATTAACCGATTCATCGAACCGCGGAACAAATAAAAATCCAGAAACTAAAAGCAACAATGCAGTAAACCCAGATAAAAACAACGACTAAGGACGCTCAAAAAATCAAACTGGGAAATCATGAGGGCAACGAAGAACTCACCGAAATCGAATCGTATGGAGAGAAAGAACCACCGGGAGATGAGTAAAGCGGAAAGCCAAGGAGGGAGGAAATTGAATTGTAGGTTTCGAATTTTTCGTTCAGGGGAAAGGGGGAGGAAATTGAATTGTACCCAACAGGTTTTACGGAACAAATCTGAAGGAGGAACCGAAAATCAGCCCCCCCATCCCTCCCTCCCTCACTATTTCTCTCTCTGACCATCCCTCAAATCCCCCGATCCCTCCCTTTTATTTATCTCTCTGTAATCTCCCCTCACATCCCTCACCGAATCTCTCTCTGTGACCATCCATCAAATCCTCCCATCCCTTCCTTTTCTGTCTGTAATTTCCCCCATCACTCCCTTTCTCTCTGTGCAATGGGCATGGCTCCCATCGGCCTCCGTCTGCGAATGTCGCCCCCACCCCTTGAACAAAACTACCCTCTTAACTTTTAATAATACCCTCCAATTCAGCCACATATTTGATGGCAGTGGTGTAAATAAAGTAAACTCAAGGGTCATGTATAGGAGGGCACCTAAACCCTATGCACAAAATTACCCTCCTAACTTTTAACAAATTACCCTCCAACCCAACCCAAATCTGATAGCTTTGTTGTAAATAACGTGAAATTGAGTAGCATTTGTTTACTGTAGCAATGTACAGACCAATTCCCCTCCAACTTTAGAATAGATAAATTTGTTTAATATATTTATAATTTTGTGTCAACTCCTCCAATCCAAAACCTAATTAGATCAAATATATACGGACATATATTCTACATTTATGTATACTAATACCATAAAAAGTAGGTAAATTAATTTTGTTACAAATTTAAAAAGTAGGCACATTAATTTTTAGGGATCTTTTGATATAGACGCCTCAGTTTTGAATTTTCTAGATCAAACATCCATGCCTTTTAATGATTTGATTAAACTTTTTTTTATCATAATTTTGGTGCTATATGCCCATTATATTGTAACAAATTTCCTATAATCTAGCCTTTTGATTACACTCTCCTCCATTAGAGATAATTGTAAAAAAAAAAGTTGGTTAGATTCAATTTATTTTCACAATAATGCTACAATTTAGCAATAATTATCTACGATTTAAGATTTTTTTTTTTCCAAAATAGTTTAAAATATTTTTAAATCCCCCAAAATCAAACGTACCAAAATGAGTTTTTCTTTTAGTACGTTAAGAGAAAATAGGATTGAGAATACTATAAACGTACCAATACAAAATGTGTTCAAAATAAAACGTACCAAAATAAAAATAATGTACCAATATTAACAATATGTATCAAATCAAACGTACCAATTAATGATTTTAGTAAATTCAAACGTACCCGCAGATAATATATACGTAATGTATTGTACCTAATAATAATTCGTCAACAACTATACTTAAAAAACAGCAAAAAAAATATAATTTCACAAAAACATTGAAAAAAATACACAGAGCTTATATGTTGATCACCAACTATTTGAAAAAGAAAAAACCATTTGGAAAAAAAATAATATCAAATGTTTGCATACCCAAAAAAAAAAAAACTGTGATCGAAAAAACATATTTGGAAGAAGGGAAAATATAGTTTCATTACTAATATCTCCACTAAATAAGGAAAAGTGCATTGTGCAGATAAAAGGATAAATTCAAAAATTATTTTAATTTAAAAAAATAGAGGTAACTATTGGTCAAAGCACTTTAATCAAATTTTAAAAAAGTACAAATGTTTAATCTAAATGATATATAAAAACTGTAGGGGATTCTAATTTTCCCTAATTTTTATGTAATTATACAGTAGGTAAATTATTTTCATAAAATTAAACAATAATATTGTTTTCAAAAAATTAATTTTCATAGTAGGTAAATTTTTTCATGTAATTATAGTAGGTAAATTATCTTCATAAAATTAAACAATAGATATTGCTTTCAAAAAATTAATTTTCATAGTAGGTAAACTATTTTCATGTAATTATCCTGTAGGTATAAAATTAAACAATAGATATTGTTTTCATAAAATTAATTTTCATATTAGGTTAATTATTTTCATAAAATTAAACAATAGATATTGTTGAAAATAAACACTAAATTAGGTATATTCAAATTGAAATTTGTTGCCGAAATTAAAAAAAAATCCAAATTCATTCCTCCATCTGGAACCATATTTCATGGCTACAAGACCTTGCCAAATTCAATGCACGTGATCACTTAAAGCAAAATTACAAGAACTTTCCATACTGGCTTAGATGGGGTATATTAGGGATCCAAAAAATATAAAAATGGACACACAAACTTAATTTGGTAAGTTTCTTAGTTGGATCCTAATCATTTGGTTTTATTCTGATAAATATTATATGATGGGCTAGAGACTAGAAAAATGAGTTTGGAGGGAGAAAGTTAAATTTTCAGAAAAATAATACATATATATATATATATATATATATATATATATATATATATTATCAATGTATTGACAGCACTAGAATTTTAAATTTATTTTCTAACGGCTTATACACCTCACACTTGTTATGCTAATGCATGTGGTCTTGTTCTTTCTTTGTTTTTGTAGGTTTCTTTCAATATCTATGGCACCAAATCCGTAAGGGGTCCTCTTTTTGTTTTATTTACAAGTTTTCGATCGAGACAAACTTGATTTTTTAAATTCCGAAGACTGGGTGAGCTATTGCTAATGTTGTGTATTCTTCTTCACATTTTTTACTGTAGGTCAAGAACACAACTATTGGCGTAAGAAGTTTCTTCCCAAAAGCTTCTTTTATTTTTTGTGTGCTCTATCTGTACTTCTTAAACCTAGTAACTGTATGTCTTTATTCACTTTTCCGTGGTATCTATTGCAGCTGGCAAGTGGCATTCATCATACAGCCACGAGATCTGTAAGATCAACTTCATTTAATTAGTCTATAAGCTCAAGTATTTTTGAAATTGGGTATCTTTATCGGCACCCAAATTTTAGTTAAGTTCCCCTAACTAAAACATTTTGTCAAACTTCATAGTTTCCCCTCATTTTTAAGTTCGCCCAAATCCACACCAGCCTCCACCTACCAAAAGAAAGAGAAAATGAACAAACAAAACAACCACCGCGCGCCCAACAAAACTACACCACCCTCCGGTCCCTCCCTCGTAGATGCGTCGATGCCGGCTCCTTGGTGGGTCTGTGTGTTCCTTCTCTTTCTATTGGTGAATGGTACTGGTGGCTGTGTGTTGTTGGTTTTTTTGTGAGTGGTAGTTGCTGCTTTGTGGTTGGGTGAACTCAATTTCGACGGCAAATTAAAAAGTTTGATGACAAAAATTTTTTAGTTGAGTAAAACTAACTAAAATTTGGGTGTCAATAAAGGCACCCTTTGATTTTTTTTTTTTTTTTTTTTTTTTTCACTTTATGCACTTTTCAAACTCATAGTCGATTGATTTTTTTGCAGCACTTGGATGGTTTATACTCATATGGATCGGTAAGGACTAAGACGAGATTATATTATCAACATATGTAGATTTCCCATTCTCTCTCTTTAATTACATCAAAGATAAAGTAATTTGGAAAGAAAGGGAAGAAAAAGTAGTACACAGTGGATCTAACATATTATTGTCCATGCATGCAGGGTTATTTTTCCTAGCCAGATTTGTTTTTGGAGTTCCAGTTGTGACTGCATTTCTAATCTACACATGGCGCAGAAGACATTTATCAATGTATAGCACAATAGAAGATTTTCTGCAATGCAATAACAACATCATGCTTATAAGGTACTCTTACTCGGACGTCAAGAAAATGACTCGCAGGTTTAAGGACAAGTTGGGCGAAGGTGGCTTTGGCTCTGTATTTAAGGGAAAGCTACGCAGTGGTCGATTTGTAGCAGTTAAAGTTTTGGGCAAGCCCAAAGCTGATGGCCAAGATTTCATTAGCGAAATAGCTACAATCGGAAGGATTCACCATGCCAATGTGGTACAACTTGTTGGATACTGTGTTGAGGGATCAAAACGCGCTCTAGTATATGACTTCATGCCTAATGGTTCTCTTGATAAATACATTTATTCCAAAGAAGGAAGTGTCCCCTTAACTATCAAGAACATGTACGAGATTTCTCTTGGAGTGGCTCAAGGGATCGAATATCTACACCAAGGTTGTGAAATGCAAATTCTACATTTCGACATCAAGCCTCATAACATCCTTCTTGATGAGAACTTTAAAGCAAAGGTTTCTGACTTTGGGCTTGCAAAATTGTATCCTGTAGATAATAGCATTGTCTCTTTGACGGCAGCACGGGGTACACTGGGATATATTGCTCCTGAGTTGTTCTACAAAAATATTGGATGCGTCTCATACAAGTCAGATGTCTATAGTTTTGGAATGTTGTTGATGGAAATGGCAAGCAGAAGGAAGAATTTGAATCCAACGGTAGAGCATTCAAGCCAAATCTACTTCCCAATGTGGGTATACGATCAATATATTGTGGGAAATGACCTGGAAATGGACAATGTTACAGAGGAGGAAAAGAAAGTAATAAGAAAGATGGTTATAACCGCCTTGTGGTGTATTCAAATGAAACCAAATGATCGCCCTTCGATGTCCAAAGTTGTCAAAATGCTTGGAGGAGATGTTGAATGTCTGCAAATGCCTCTCAGGCCTTCTCTATGCCCCCAACAGACGCCTGTGACAATGGGTGATATTCAAGACAATGAATTGAACCCAAGATGTTCTAACGCGGAGCTAACGTGTTCATTGTCAGCTAGGTGATAGTCAAATGGTTAAGAAAGTGCAGTAATGTATTATTAATTAAATTCTTGCCTTAAAGTGATTTAGTGAATAACTGTTGTCTGTAATTGTTTGGCATAACTTGGCCAGACCAAAATCAGAGATTTTTGGCGTGATTTTTTGGTCGAGCAAAACATTATGGGGTTTGATATCGAAATGGAGGATTTGTAGATCACATTCCTAGTTCCTTTGGCTATGCTGATAGCAAGATCTTGCAACTTATGCCAACCAAGGAAAGAAATCTATCTGCTGATGAAATATAATCCTGGAGTGAACCAAAGGGAAAGAACTCATAAACCAGAGCTCATCTAAATCCATCAGCACAAAAACCAACCAAGTGAACCACATTGACATGGTGAATATGGCCCATTGTTCCCACTTCATTTACAAGCTCTTCCCCGTCACCCTTGGAAATGTTAAGTACTTTCATGGCAACAAAGCATTCAGAAAAAAACTTTCGTTTAAAAACAGTTCCGTATGCTCCTTGGCCCAACTTGTACTTGAATTGATTTGTAAACCTCTTAATATCTGCATGGGAATATATGCTTGGCTTAAGATCTTTGTAGTCCGCTGAAAACTTATCAAATTTCATTCGATTCTCTTTTTACTTTTGTCAGTGCTATAGGCGTGATATGCCGCAATGACCAGCAGTTACAGAACAAATGAACCCAGGGTTGCTCCTGCAAATAGATAGATATTATCCATGAGTGTAAACATTTATTCTCAAGTGTCATTTGGACATGAAACAAAGCTCCTACACAACTCACCCTTGCAAACGTCTTTGTTTTGCCTGCAAAAGACAGTTGCAAAAATCAGACTGTCATTTCTCGAAATTAATTAATATCGCATTTGGTGCGATGGCAAATGCCTTCGCCCATGAGCGGTAGGTCTCGGGTTTGAGACTTTGGAGCATCCTCTCCATAAAATGGGGGTAAGGCTAGCCGACATTCACCTCTCCCAGACCCTGCGTAAAGCGGGAGCCTTATGCACTGGGTACGACCTTTTTTAATCAATATCGTTACCACATATAAGCCGTTAATTACATGAAAGCGGAAAAATCACAGCATGTAGCAGAGTATACCGATCATCATCATTCAAAACATCATGAGCTGAATGGATTCAAAATAAGATTTAGACGTGTTATCCTTACTTGGTTTCCTCCTGTCAACAAGTTCAATTTCGCTCTTGGTGCCATTGTTCTTCAATCTACACCTCTTGCCCTTTGCTTCACATTTGATTCAATTTGGTTTAGACCATTTGAAATGCATTTGAAATGCAGTGTTTTAATTTCATTTCCCACCCAACCACCAAATGGAACTGATGAAACACCATACGCCTTTGTACAAGATTGCAGGGCTAGGAAGCTTTCAAATAATTGAAAGAACGAAGAAATGCCATAAATTCTGTTGCCAGGGACACTGAGGCAAGGGGACTTGCTATATATAGAGGGAAGGAGAGAGGGTGGGATAAGTCCATGAAATCCATGGAATCAGTGAGGGAGGCTTAAAGAGAGTTGGTTGGATTGTGTGATTCGGTCAGGGGATATTACTAGGAGAGAAATAGAAAGGGAAGAAAGGGTATTTGGTGGATGGTTACAGAGACAGAATGAGTGAGGGTTTATGTATTTTTTATTTCGGCCCTAGAAAATTATAGTCTCACAATTGCCTCTAACCATTCATCTGAGGGGCAACCTGTTCCCCTTGAAGATGAATTATTATCCAAAGAGCTACATGTTGAACCGTCAGTCGGGAAAGAAGATCTACATGACGACCAGCTTATTCGTCAGTTAAAACACTCACATCTTCGCTCCAAATGTTTGCCCAACGACTGATGTCTTAACCTACGAACTCTAGCCATCCTGTAAATTTATTCAGTCAACCCAGTTTGTTGACTGATTTTGCCCTACTAAACTTATATTATGTCGGTTAAAAAAAGTGAAACCGACGAAATCTTCTGTCGCGCAATAGTTGACAGGGCAAGCCATAAATTCTAGTAGTGCAAGCATAGCATCTGCTGGAATAAGTAGTTCTTAGATGAATCCAAGAACTAAAGGATTTAGTCTTATAATTTTAGATGTATACTATCAAGTGTACCCGCCCGTTGCTGCGGGGCTTGAAACATTGTTGAAGATGTAGAAAGTTTTGAAAAATATATATGCTAAAGAGTGGTGTTTATATACATATATTACATACATATGTTTACAAAGTGCTATTTACATTCATACATTACATGACAAAAGTTGGAGATGTTGTTATGCCATCCTCAAAGATTGTTTTCAAAAGTTATGAGTCTATCTCATGGAGTATTTTATGTTTACAACTATACAAAGTTAAAAAAAAATCAGTTTTATTCCACTAAAGGCATCCAAAATACGACAATGCTGAACTGAAAATCAAAAGAAGAAGGAATTAAAAACCTAATTTGATCACTCATGAATTGAATAACCCTAAACCATACGATTTGAACTAAATGAAAATGTAAAGATGAAGGGAAATTTGTCATAATTTCATTATGCAAGATTTCACTATGCTAGATTTCATTTTAGGCACCAAAACAAATTCATAAAATTAAAGTTGGGGTTTCCATATTCTCTATTGGGTATCGAAAGTCGTGAAAAGCTTGGAAATAACCAATCAAGTGTTTACCTGCAGATTAAGTGTTCTGTTTTCATCCTGCAAAAAACTCAAATTCCAGAAACAACAAAAATGCAAACTTCATACGGAAATTGAAGGTTTACCTGCTGATCAAGTGTTCTGTTTTCATCTTGCAACTTGGTTACCTATAAAACAAAAAAAAAGATCCATTAACAATATAGAAACCAAATACATATTGAACACTCTATACCTCACATGTACGGACCAAATATGGAAGTCCAAATAGACACTCAAAACTGATACAAAAATACTACATAAATTCTTTTCAACCCTATCTGTCTTAAAATAAAATTAAAGTGGTCATATTGCAGAACAAAAGTATACCACCTGGAGTGTGCTTCAGCTTTGTCTCCAATGGAGCAATGATGGACTCAACAGATAGCATTTCATCGTCTTTCTGTGCAGCGTGAACTCTTCAAAGTGTGACTTCTGCTGCAATATTTTGATATAAAACAAAACCCCCATAATCAGATTAATTAGGGTTTTTTCTTCATAGTTTCATGTACTTCACAAGATATATGATGTAAATTATACTTGAGTATTATCACTGTATAAAAAATACTAAACGGATATATCACATTTAAGCTTAAGTATGCTGATTACCGAAATACTTTAAATGGTTCTTCAAATTATCATTGTTTACATCAAGAAATCATTGAAACATTGTTGAAGATGTAGAAAGTTTTGAAAAATATACATGCTAAAGACTGTTTATATACATATATTACATCCATATGTTTACAAAGTGCTATTTACATTCATACATTACATGACAAAAGTTGGAGATGTTGTTATGCCATCCTCAAGGATTGTTTTCAAATGCTATGAGTCTATCTGATGGAGTATTTTATGTTTACAACTATACAAAGTTAAAAAATTCAGTTTTATTCCACTAAAGGCATCCAAATCCATAACTCTGTTACTGGCACCTTTTTCATTTTGTACGACAATGCTGAACTGTAAATCAAAAGAAGAAGGAATTAAAAACATAATTTGATCACTCATGAATTGAATAACCCTAAATTGCATACAAATTGAACTAAATGAAAATCTAAAGATGAAGGGAAATTTGTCATAATTTCATTATGCAAGATTTCACTATGCTAGATTTCATTTTAGGCACCAAAACCAATTCATAAAATTAAAGTTGGGGTTTCCATATTCTCTATTAGGTATCAAGAGTCGTGAAAAGCTCGGAAATAACCAAAGTACACACCTAAGAAAAACATAAGCAATAAAGCATTTCCAACTCCTCAAGTCATTCATCAAACATGGTAATACAATCATCGAGACACACTCAATCATTTATCCTAAACCTAAATAAGAATAATTAGGTTTAGGATTAATACCCAAATAGTCAAGCCTTCACTTCTACTTGTTTTGGTCCTTGCTGCAAAAATGCAGGCCTGTCGTTATGCTCCTCTGGATATGGCGTCAAAAAGTATTTTTCCTGCCTACCCTCAACATCCTAATACATGGATAATGCAGCTTGGTTAACAACTCTCCTCCTATGCTTCTTCAAAGCTCAAAACTTTCACACTCAATGGATCAAATAAGCCTTGTTTTTAATACCCTTTTGGAGTTTGATCTTTAAGTCAGTTAAATTTTTTATTTATTTTGTCTGATTTGAATTTGTGGGTTTTATCTCCCAATCTCAAAAGCTTATAGTTTTATATATTAACAATCCACACAAAAATAAATATCACTCGTATGATAATCATTTTCTAATCCCCATAAATAAAACAACTCAATATCTTCTTCTAATCCCAATTCTTCTATCATATAATTGCCATTAATAATCCCATATGTGAAATCATAATCTATGTGATAGAATTGAGAAATAATAAAAACTCAAATTCCAGAAACAACGAACATGCAAACTTCATATGGAAATTGAAGGTTTACCTGCAGATCAAGTGTTCTGATGTCATCCTGCAACTTGGTTACCTTAATAAAATTAAATTAAATTAAAAAAAAAAGGATCCATTAACAATATAGAAACCAAATACATATTGAACACTATACCTCTCACATGTACAGACGATATATGGAAGCCAAAATAGACACTCAAAACTAATACAAAAATACTACATAAATTTTTGTAGTATTTTGTATCAGTTTTAAAATAAAATTAAAGGGGTCATATTGCATAACAACTGTATAACTCCTGCAGTAAGCTTCAGCTCTGTCTCCAATGGAGCAATGATAGACTCAACGGGTAACATTTCATCATCTTTCTGTGCAGCATGAACTCTTCAAAGTGTGACTTCTGTTGCAATATATTGATATAAAACAAAACCCCCACAATTAGATTAATTCGGGTTTGACGACCAAGCAGAGGCCGAATCAATTTTGTTGACGATCGTAGCAAGAACCTTGGGAGTAAGAGAACTCGTAATCCAAGATAGGATCATCTGGTCAGTCTGGATCCATTCATTATATAATGGAATGACTTTGTCGGTGAATTTACCATTGTCATCAAGAAGAAAGGCAGAGGGGCATTGAGTTTCGCCAGTAACATAAGAGAGTAAGTTGCGGCTGCGCAGCAAGGGAAGAAACTGAGCATGCCAGAGAGGGTAGTTGTTGCGGTCGAGCTTGATCGTAAGAAAATTTGTGATGGAGGGAGCAGCGGAGGAGGAAGAAGATGCCATAGTTTAGGATCTGCAAAAGAGAAAAAAATTATAATAGGAACCGTTGTCGTTAGACGCTGGCTCGTGATACCATGAAAGATAGTAAATATGATTTGCAAAATCTCAACTCTTAATTAGAGTGAGCGATGTTCATTGATATTTATAGGAGTACTATACAAACACACGTAGAACTAGGATTACAATCTAAACAGGACGTGGACTAAATATAAGTTAAGTCAGTATGAAACTTGTTCTGCAGTAGGCATGTCGTCTGAGGATTCCATGTTGGAATTGGATTGTGATTGTGCAGTAGCAAACAGAGATGGAATGGGATTTGGTTTATCATTTTCTTCATAGTTTCATGTACTTCAAAAGATATATGATGTAAATTATACTTAAGTATTATCATTGTATAAAAAAAATACTAAATGGATATATCACATTTAAGTTTAAGTATGTTGATTACCAAAATACTTTAAATGGTTCCTCAAGTTATGATTGTTTACATCAAGAAATTAATGATATACCCTCTATTTCTATAATATATGTATCTTTGATTATAAAATCAATAGAACTTTTTACTATTGATCTTAACATAATAGAACAGATAAGAGCTAATGAGATCGAGCTAAGCTACTTCACCTCTTCCATAAGACCACGTCTCCACCAAGCCTAGACATCCCGACATTGCCAAGATAGGTGTGTCGTCCTACCTGCAAGATTTACACAGAAATGAAAATTTGAAAGAGGTTTAAGCATGAACAAATTGTAAAACCGCAAAACTTAATAACACCAAATTGTGTTGCAAGCAAGCACCAACCCTCATGAATAAAAGGTGGGTACACAAATTTGGCAGGAGATGAACTTGTTTCATGAAACGCAGCTCTGAGCGACGACAATCTTTGGTTCTAGCGAGGAAATGTTACATGATCTAAAATCACCTCCAATTGGTAATTATGTAAAGAAATAGTTACACGAAAAATCACATATATATATTTTTGAACCCAATCTACCAATTCAGTGCAACAAAAGCAAGAGGTGAGTTGGGAAAAAGCATACTTTCACAAAGCTAAAAGCTTTTGATATTCCACGACTTTCTTCTTCTTCTTCTTCTTCTTCCTTCTGAACATCTTCTGATTCAGGGATGGCAGCTCTGCAGCCTATTTCAGTATCCCCAAATCAGTTTAAATTTTTTTAAGGTTTAAATACAAAATTGGGCATAATAAAAACTGAACCAAAAAGTCTTAATTGCTTAACCAAGTGAGAGAGGATTTTGGAAAACAGCGCCAGGCGGCTACGGCGTCCACAGTAGGCTTATTGGCTTTCTTGGCATCAACCCCAATCTTATCAAAGCAGAGACTCCCATTGGGCCGCAGAATCTAAACGAAATCCTACCATAATCTCACTGTCACATAAAAATTAAAAATTAAACAACTAAATTTGCCCCAAAATATTGTTTATACTTGTCATGCATATATATAGTATTGATTACCGAGAAAAAAAATGGAAAATTCCACAACCCAGTAACCAAAATTGGAATAATAATACAAAAGTTTTACCAATCGTAGAAAGATAGAGGAGATGTTGAGCATGAACATTAGATTAGAGCCTTAAGGGCGTGTTTGTTTGACCTTCTTAGGGGGGACTGTTCTGGACTCCACTAATTGGTATTGTAGTCTGATGTTTGGTAGGGGCAAGGATTAGGTTTAATGGGATTAGATCTGACTCGCACGGATTAAACCCTCGCTAGGAGTTCTTAGCGAACCACCCCAAAAACGTCCAGATTCATAAAACCTCCTCCCTCACGTCGTCCTCCTCATCCGATTGCGCTCTTGCGAGAAAGAACCTCGATCATCCTAGGAGAGAGTGTCGTCGACGTCCTCCTCCCTCACGTCGTCCTCCTCATCCTTATCTTTGCATCCTGCTTGCCGTCAGCTGCATCCTGGTCGCCCTCATCTGCATCATGCTCCTCATCTGTTCCTCTCGTCGTCCACTCCCTCGTCTTCACGTAACAGATCTGCTCGCCCTCATCTGCCTCCAGTTGTCTGGTAAGCTTCGATTGTTCGATTTTTTTCGTCGATTTGGGTGGATTTTTTTCGTCGATTTGGGCGGATTTGTTTTGGGTTTGAGCTTTATTTGATTCTGCAGTTGAACAAATTTTAGGGTTTTGATATTTGGGTGAAATTGAGATTAGAAATTGGGGTTTTCATAAAGCTTGGAATTTGGGGTTTGAAATTGAGATTAGAAATTTGGAATTTGGGGTTTGAAATTTGGAATTTGGGGTTTTCATAAAGCAGTGTGTGTGTATGTAAGTATGTAGTAGAAATTTGGAATTTGGGGTTTGAAATTGAGATTAGAAATTTGGAATTTGGGGTTTCAAATTTGGAATTTGGGGTTTTCATAAAGCAATGTGTGTGTGTGTGTGTATGCAGTGTGTGTGCGTGTGTATGTATGTATGCAGTGTGTGTGTGTGTGTGTGTGTGTGTGTATGTAGTGTGTGTGTGTGTATGTATGCAGGGTGTGTGTGTATGTATGTCAGTGTGTGAGAGTGTGTATGTCCGTGTGAGTGCAGTGCATCTGACCAGTGTGTGTGTGTGTGTGTGTATGTATGTCGTGTGTGTGTGTGTATGTATGCAGTGTGTGTGTGTGTGTGTGTGTGTGTATGTATGCAGTGTGTGTGTGTGTGTGTATGTATGCAGTGTGTGTGTGTGTGTATATATGCAGTGTGTGTGTGTGTGTATGTATGCAGTGTGTGTGTGTATGTATGTATGTATGTAGGGTGTGTGTGAGTGTATGTCCGTGTGTGATAGTGTGTATGTCCGTGTGAGTATGTGTGTGAGTGTGTATGCAGTGTGTGCATCTGACCTGTATATTTGTTGCCTCGGGTTAATGATAACTTTTTTTTTTCCAACACCACCCGTATATTTGATGCCTCGGATTGTGACTTCGCTAGTTACTTTGATCTAGTTCATTTCGTATCATAATCACTTCATTTCCATAACCCTTAATAACAGTAAATATTACATATATAATGTCCTTAATTTGTTTTTTGTTTTTTTTTGTTTGGATAGATATGGATCGAAGGAAGCTTTTATTGATCTTATTGTTAGAGATGTCTTATTTGGAGACAATTTGCATTTGTACGATTCTTGTGTTGATGATGCTACGTGGCAAACAGAGACATGTTGAACGACCCACATTGACTAACCGTTCACTTATTAGACGAGAGATTAGTTTGTGTTATCTGAATGGTATAATAGGGAATACTGATACTGAATGTGTCAACGAATTGAGAATGGATAGAAGGACTTTTGGCATATTATGTGACTTACTTCGTCAAGATGGGAGGGTAAAAACTGATGGTTTGGTGTCTGTAGAGGAGCATGTGTGTATGACTTTACAAATATTAGCACATCATACTAAGAATCGTAGTGTTGGCGGTAGATTTTATAGGTCGGGAGAGACTATAAGTAGGTATTTCAATATCGTATTGCAAGGAATTTTGCGATTACAAGGTATCCTACTAAAAGTCCCTCAGCCTGTGCCTATTGATTCTACAGATCCTAGGTGGCGATGTTTTAAGGTATGATGAGAATTTTTTTTCATTTTCCCTAAGCTTTAACTCTTCATTCCCTTTGTATAAATTAACAAAAACTTTTTTTTTTTTTTTTAAGAATTGCTTGGGAGCATTGGATGGAACACACATTGATGTGCATGTACCTGAAATTGACAAACCAAGATACCGAACAAGAAAGGGTCGAGTCGCAACTAATGTGTTAGGTGTGTGTTCAGGAGATATGCAGTTCATATATGTGTTTACGGGGTGGGAGGGTTCTGCATCAGACTCTAGAGTGCTACATGATGCAATTACTAGGCCTAATGGTTTTAAGGTACCAGCGGGTAAGACTATTACTTAGTCTCAACTTTGTAAGTTAGGTCTAGTTCTGTTTGTCAACTACAAAACACTAATAAGGTCTGTTTTTTTTTTCATTAGGTTATTATTACCTTGTAGATGGTGGTTATACAAATGGTGAAGGATTCCTTGCACCCTATAGAGGAATACCTTATCATTTATCTGAATGGGAGGGACGAACACCTTCTAATAAGGAAGAATATTTTAACATGAAGCATTCTAAGGCAAGGAATGTAATTGAACGCTGTTTTGGCTTGCTAAAAGGAAGGTGGTCGATACTAAGGAGTCCATCTTTCTATCCGATAAGGACACAAGGTCGAATAATTACCGCTTGTTGCCTACTACACAATCTTATTAGGCAAGAGATGTCTGTAGATCCAATGGAGAATTTTCCAATAATAGAAGATGGACAAAATACAGAAGAAGGTGAATATGTTGGTAGTGTTCAAACATCTGACCAGTGGACTGCAAAGAGGAATGACATGGCTCAGGAAATGTATAATGAATGGAGAGCAATTAGGAACCAGCAACCGAACTAGCTATATGTGTTAATGATAACATTTTATTTTAGTATTCCTTTTTATCATGCATTTGTTAGATATTAGCACAAAGATTGGATGGTATGCAAATTAATTGGATATTATGCAAGTTGATTGGATATTATGCAAATTGATTATTTGTATGGTATTTTCCTTCATTAAAATATTTTTTGTTTAGGTATGGATAACGAAAATATTTTGAATGCTACTCAAGAGCCAAAAGGAAGAAGGCGTAAATGGGAAGCATTTGAGGAAGAAGTATTACTAGGAGTTCTTGAGGATTTTGTTGCTCGGAAGCAACGGTGTGACACCGGTGCTTTCAAACAAGGTACTTTGGTTGAAATAGCAAAAGTTGTCAATGTTTTATGTCCTCATTCAAATATAAAGGCAAATCCACATATTGAGTCCAAGTTGAAGAAATGGAAAAAAACATATAGTATGGTCGTTGACATGATAAACACAAGTGGATTTGCATGAAATGATGTCAAAAAGTGCGTTGAAGTTGACAGTGATGACTCATGGCAAACTTATGTGCAGGTTCATATCCTATTTTATTTATACATTAGTTATATTCTTGCTGCTATATTTGTTACGCATGCTAAATTTTAGTTTTGCTATGTTGATATAATCTTAGAGAAATAAAGAAGCCGATGGATGGAGAAGCAAACCTTTTCCACTGTTTGATAGATTTGCATATATATTTGGAAAAGATCGGGCTACGGGTAATGTAGCCGAAACCCCTGCTCAAATGGTGGAGGAACAAAGTCATGATCATGTTGGTGAAAGTGATATTGGAGGTGAAAATTTTGTTTCTTCAATGAACCAACAAAGCCAACAAAGCACCCCATCTGAAAATAGCCAAAGAAAGAGGAAAAGAGCTGTGGGAAATTCAAGTGATGGAACCGAGGCAATTATCAGTGGACTGAAAGATTTTTATGTTGAAAGTGGGAAGAGGATGCAAATGGTAACTGAAGCTTTAGTTCAAGGTATTGCAGATCATACTGACATAGCTAATGAACTTGAAGTAATGGGTCTCTCTCCTATGGATCAAATTGATGCATTGTCTCTTATTTTGGATAAACCAAAAAATGTGGGAGTGTTCAGGGCAATCAAACCGGAACTCAAGAAAGTGTTCGTCCAAAGGCTTTTAAGCGACAACGCAAGCGGATGAGGATTTTGGCTAATGTTAACATGGATGTATTTTATTAATGTTAACATGGATGTATTTTATTAATCATACAATCTTATGTTATGGCTTATAACTTAGCTTTGCACTAGTATTTTGGCTTATGTTAACTAGCCATTTTGTAAATTATGGAGATCTATTTTGGCTAATGTTAACTAATGTTAACTAGGATTTTCTAAATTATGGAGATCTTCTTATGTACTTGTATTTGTTGAAGTTGCATGTATTGGGCACTATTATTTTTCTTCTGTTGGGTGATAGAGTTTAAACTAAGCTACATTTGCAAATTAAACCCAATTCTATTAGCAGGTAATAGAAACAAAACAATTGTCAATTTTTTTTAAGATTCATAATATACATGGCAAAAATATGCTCCAATTAACCCATATCATGAGATTTGTAGCATTACTCTATTACACAATGGCAAAAATTTGTAATCCTAGTCTAAGCAAACACAAATCTGGTGAACAGTACTGTTTTTCTTATCCTGCTTCTTAGTCCGACATTACACCAAACGCTTCACTAAGTTAGTCTAGCTTAGTCCAGTCTAAGCCAGTCCAGCTTAGTCCCGGCAGCTAGTCCAGTCCGAGACAGTCTGGCGCAACAAACGCACTCTAAGAGTCTTAATTTAATAAGAGGAGTCTTAATTCAATATTGAATAAGAATATTAATTTAATAAAAGTTAATACTCAATCAACCAAGTTCCCCATTTCAAACTACCCATCAAATATTTAACAGCAATACAAGCAATAACAAACAAAAAATTTAAACTACTCCAAAAACTAAAACCCTTTTAATTTTCCATGTGTATTCAATGATTTGCTTCCTGTAAAAATAGGAAATAAGGAATAATTATTTGGAGATGGAATCTCATATAGAGCTAGCAGAGGAAGCAAAGAAGATATGCAAAAGCAAATTAAGAGATCATTATATTACAAAAGCTATAGAAGCAAATTAAGAGATCATCATATTTGGAGACAGAGACACATATAAAGCTACAAAAACAAATTATTACCGCTAACAAAAACTGACCTAATTAATTGGATATCCTGGCAAGTACTGATCAAATGTTTTATTACAAAAAAGAGGTAACTGAGAAACCTCATACCTGAGAACTGAATTTAGAAGCTGGACTATGCTGTTGAAGTGAAGCAAGAAGTAACTGCTCCATTTCAAAGGCCGCAAATCAGAGTTTGCAGCTGTCCTGATTAATGCCATTTTAAATTTGACATTCGTCTCAATCTGTATCATGTGTTTATAGACGTTTAGTTATAATCATAAAACTCAAATTTTTGGTTCAGAAGTTCAATGATGGTTATATGATGTCTACGTTGAGGGTAACATGCGGAGAAATTTTGGGGATAATATTGTTCAAAAAATTATCAACAATGTAGATTCTCCAAAAAATTATATTCTAAGGCCTAAAATAAAGAGTTAGCCTTCATGAAGTGAAAGCAACACATATAAGTCTAATGCTCCAAACCAAAAAAGATACATTGTAAGGTCAACAATTACAACTTCATAGTTTGTCATGGTATTCTGATGTACAAATTAACTAACAAACCTTGAATTCCTCAAATGTTAGTTTCGGAATAATTTTTCAGTCACCGCTACAATCAAAACCATAGCTATTGTCTGGAAATAATGCCTGTAGCAAATTGAAACCAGATCATTATGTTAGACATTGAAATAAAGAACAAAAGTGATGATACTAATAAGACATAAATTACAATAGATGTTGTGTAGTTTAATATGTCAGCAACATGGATAGCTGGTAACCAAAGATAATTAACAGATAAGAATGTATCATTGTGTAGTTAGCTCACCGGTATATGATTTCGACCCAGAAGCTTAATCTGTATCAATTTGTGTATAAAACACTTGGCCTAAATTTATACAGGTATGCATCAATTAATGACACATTGTCATAGTACTATCTAAGTGTTAATTCCATCGGGAATAGAATGGACGGAGGGGGTTCCAAGTTCTTCCTAAAACAAAAGGCTAATTCCCTTAACAATTCAGAGCCTTTGAAATATGCAAAAAAATGGAACCACAGTAAAGCTTTATGTACGCCTATTGTGAATATATTATGTCAACGTGGTTCTTTCTTTCTTTCTCAAATCGCAGTATTCTTGACCTGTGTTCTGAAAATCCATTAAAAATACAAACAGAGTCCAAGCTTTCAGCTTCCGTCAGGCTTTTATCTCCGTCTTTTTTTCTTCGCCGTCAATCAAACAGACGGAGACGTTTTCCTATTGTTTTGGTGAACGAATACAAAAGAGTATAAGAGGAAGGGAATAGGGGAATTCGGCCAGCCATGAAGCTCAGCCAAGAAGAGCAGCCAACCTCCTCCGAGTCGAATCGGAAAATGACGTCATGGGCTGCCTTGGAGCGACTGCCCACGCGCTCGAGAGCAAGGAGAGGTATTCTACTCGCGGAAGATCAAGAACGAAACAGAGAGATTGATGTGAAGGAACTTGGATTAGTAGAAAGGAAAAACGTTTTGGAAAAAAACCACAAACCCAGAAAAATAATGAAAAAATTTCTAATCCACCTCCAACCCACGAACCCAGAAAATTAATGAAAATTTTTCTAATCATTAAATTGGATTCCACCAAATCATGAAATTTTTTCTAAAGTGTAATAGGTGTAGAAAGTACTTGTGGTGATGAGGAATAGTTTCAGACCAACCTCGATGGCCGCTGTCGCCGGATTTCCGTCGGAAAACTCGAAACCGAACCAAACTCCTAGGTTCTAGGGAGATGATAATGATGCGAAATTCAATATGCAAAATGTGAAGGAGAGGAATTTCAATTGGAAAGATCTGGAGCAAAGTTGCTGCTGAAATTTGGGGAAGAGAGCTCCAGAAGGTTTTCAATTCGAATAGATGTCGATCAGGAGGGAAGAAATCACGGAGGAAGCAGAGATCGCAAAGCAGAGATCGCGTAGCAGAGATGGAAGGGAGAAGCTTTCTCAGTTTGAAGTTTCTCGAGGTTTCTGAAGAAGTCGAGAGCAGGGCCAAAACCGTCGTTTTAGTATATACTAACTGCAGGTTTAAAACTAGACATCCCTTGTAATTTGTTTAAGTTGGAATACCAGAAGTGACATTGTATTTTCATAAGACGTCGCAAAAATCATGTTAGAACCTGTGATGAAACAATTTTTGAGTCAGATCGTATGAAAGGACGGAGTACAAAAATCAAAAAGCTCTTCATGTTCGATAATGGCAGTCATACATGTTGCAATGACGTTACATCACTTACAAGATCACAAAGATTCAATTTTCATACTATAGTAAACATAATTCTCAGAATATTAACTAAGAAATTCTTTCAAAGAAGACTAGAAACAAAGAAAAATAAAATTATTTATGTTGACTACAAAAGGCTTCAAAGCTACACACCGAAGCCCCAAAAAACGAAGAACAAATTGTCCTGAAACAATGCACACAGCCAAATCATATAACCAAGAAACATATCTAAGGATATAAGATCACAAAGATTCAATTTTCATACTCTAGAAAACACAACTCTCACAACATTAAATAAAAATTTCTTACAAAAAAGGTTACAAAGAAAAAAACGAAATTATTTACCTTGAGTATACACGGCTTGAAAGCTAAACGGTTTCAAATCTACACACAAAAGCCTCAAGAAACGAAGAACAAATTGTCCTGAAACAAAACACACAACCAAATTATACAACCAAGCAACAGATCCAAGAATATAAACAAAAGTCAAACCTGTATAGCATTGGGTAAACTATGGTAATTTGTTGGTATAACTGATCTGCATCAATAACTCTGTTGGATTTTTCAGCAGAGAAAAAGATATTTTTTTGTTTTTTCCAAATGAAGTTTATGTTAAACGAAGTATCATTGGTTGTTAAATTGTTGGTATTATACTATGAATAAGCTGGAATAATTAGTTTGGGCAACTAACTGGAAAGTTGTTTAAAAATGTATTGAATATACTGAAACAGTTCTAATTAAGAAATTTATAAAATGTACTAACTAATTGAAACAAATTATTTAATTGTTTAGTTGCCACTATTGTTAACGAAGTAGCATGCATCACACTTCTATTGACACGTGTTTTCCTATTTATATAATTGCGATTAACATGTGGTAGATAAGTTATAAAATGTAAACAAGCATATTGTGTAAGAGCATTTTCTTTTGTGTTAAAGATAAAATTGAAAACAGTGTGTTAATTTAATAAAAAACAACAGATATGGTGGTATTGTAATATGTATTTTTGAGTAAGAATTTTTGTTTTCATGTGTGGAGGATTTTGGTAGACGATGGGAACATTTTCTATGTAAACACACAAAGTATTTAAGCAAGAACTAATTTGTATTTGTGGAGGCATGTCCATGTATTTAACTGTAGTAAAAAATTAAGATCTATTTATACCGAGCTTGATGAAATAGGGCAATAAGCAAAACTTTTGGAGGACATGTAATTGTTTAATACAAAAAAAAGACAAAAAAAAAATACAATAAAAAAGTATAAAGAATTGACAAGTGCAATAAAAAATTTATGTGAAACTTGTAGCAAAAATGGGAATGGAAAAATTAAAATTAGCAAGAAGTGGTAGATACATATGAGTTCACCTATTGCAGGAACGTGTATGATTTGACAAAGTGAAATATGGGTTGAAGCAAAGTGAGTATTGTGCAAGACTGTGTAAGTCAATTTTGTGCCCTTTCTATTGTAAGAACGGTAAGAAAAGATGTTCAGAGATGGACCAGATATGTCTCATTTAGTGTCTCCGTGGAGTACAGAGATGAAATTTGATAAAATGTTTGGGCTTTGATTATTTAAAGTATTATCATCACTTCCATCTCTCCTCTTCAGAGGAATTGGTTCCTACCAATATATAGACAAACACTTTCTTCTTTTGACCTACTGTAAACACATGATAAATTGCTTGGCTATTCATTGAGGGGTTTAAGATGCACATCCAAAAGCATGAATCTAGATGCTTAACCATAGATATATTTTGTTGACATGGTTTGGTTCAACAAAAGAACACAATATGAACAGGGGAATCGTTTAATCTATCTAATGATTAATAAAAATGTTGCGGAGATAGATTTAACGATTTCCTTATTGTTGTGATGTTCTTTGGTTCAACCAAAGGTTGTGGAGTGGGCACCTTTTTGGTGGCAGTGACTTTGATAATACTTTGGATGCGCAAATCAACGCGTTAGCAGGTAGGAAAGTAATTAATCATGTGTTAAGCCCAGGTAAAAAGCAAATACTGTGCATATATATTGGTAAGAACTAATTCCCCCAAATTGGTAAAAATTTAATCTAAGCAGAAGACAGTTATGAAAAAAAGAATAAATTATAATTTTTTAATATACCTTTTTTTTTTGCCCAGTTTTAACATACCATTGATTGTTACACAAATGTAATTTAAAATAAAATTTTAGTATTACTATATTTTCATGTCATCTTTTTGAAATCTTAAATAAAAAGCTGTAATTTAAAATATTGATTGGAACATTTAAGGGATTATTATGAGATTCAATCAATCGATCAAGTCTAAAAGAAATTTAATAAAATTCAAAAATTTATGGGATCAATATGTACAAAATTCACGAATTATGAGACTTAAAAATTAAAAATTAAAAAAAAACAATTTCTACAATAAAAATTCATGCACACTGCACATATTTTTGTGAATTTTATTGAGTAGTATTAAGGGAAATAATGTACCCAATGAATTCATACATACAAAAGCAATGTACCCACCAACTTAGACCAAAAATAATTTATGTACCCATAACATAAATAGCATATGGATACATACTGAATTTACAAGAAAACTCATGGGTACATTTAAAAACTCAAGGAAAAGAATGTACATCATACCACATTGTTTTATAGACATGCATATGTGGGTACATAAAATGCAACAACCTTAAAAACCATTTTACATAATATTCTCCAAAAACTTTGTACCCATATATTTATGTAAAACGAATTTGAACCAACCAAAACATATTATAGCAATAGATATATTAAAACGAAACATGTAGATTAAAAATGTACCCATGGATCACTACAATAGAATTGGCCTTTTACGGCGCACAAAGGGTGCCGTAAATGGAAATTCACGACGTGAGCCTCCAAGCAGTAAAAGCCCCTGTTGTAAAAGATGTTTTGACAAATACGACGTACTCTAATAGTAGTGAATAATTTAAGTAAAACACGCCATAAATGTTCTTAAGGCATGTCCTACGCGCCTTAATTGGTATTAGTTACAGCGTTAATAGGGTGTCGTAATACTGAAAAACAATTACGACATACTTGTGTGCAGTAATTTATATTTGATACAGCATTTGTTGAGTGTCGTAATATTGTGAAGGTGATTACGGCATACATCGTGCATCGTAAAAAAAGACTACCATCAACAATTATTGCTGATTTTAGATGCCGTAATTTACATCTATATTTAGCATATCATTTTTAGACAGACCTCACTTCATAACATCTAAACTGATACAATAGAAGGATAACAATATTGATCATAAACATATTAAACTCCAAATACTTTAAATTAATTAGTAGAAATTGTCAATTACAATACAATTCTAAGTTTGGACATAAACAAAAAATCTGAATTGTTTTGTTCCTTTTACAACTGATGCACATTCTATAGTTGACAATACAATAACAAATTGACAATATCTAACCAAATTGATACTAGATATATCTATGGTGGTGCTAGATATATCGAACCAAATTGATACTAGGAAGTTCAAGTAAATAAACAAATTGACAATACAATAACAATAGACTCACAATCGATTTTAACAACGAAACTAAATCCTTTCTACCCTATTCAAACCTTTAGATCATGAATCATGATCCTTCTCTTTCATTTTTTTAATTGTATCTCACTCACTTTTTCATAATTTTGTTGCTGAAGGCCCTAAGAATTTCTATGTTGTCCTACACCTGTCTTAATATCAAAATATTTGAAAATTATCACACTACGTACCATTTAGCAGTTATAAATAAGTTGGTGGACCAAAAGGAAGGTGTCTTATAATCAAACCATCTGGTACACCACGATGTTTCAATGTTTTCAGAAATAACCTGCAGTATTTGAAAAAAAATAGACATCAGTAGATGCGCAACTATGGAGAAGGACCAAAACATCATAACTTTTAACAGAGTCAATGATCATTTCTAGTGTCTAGTTAGATTGAAAATGGCAGAGCTTTTAACAGAGTCAATGAGCATTAATAGTTAGAAGGCTCATTGAAAAAGTGTATCAACCTCGCCACCACGATTCATTTGTTGCGCAATGGGAAAGACAAGTTTCAGTTCTTGCGACAGTATCAACATGTGCCTCAGGAGCTGCAACCTGTGTGTCAGGAGATGCCTCACTTGGTAGATCATTACCCTGTGATTTGATGTGTCACTAAAACTGATTTCACAAATATTCAATATGATACCAATGTTATTAAATCACTAACCTGATTTTTCATAAAAAGATACACCAATTCTGTCAGTGCTCTGACCTGATTAGTTAAATTGTGCACCTTTTCATCCATTTGGTGATTACGCAATTTTTGTTGTGAAAATATTCCAAGCTTTGTAGGAGGAACACCACCTCCAACTCCTCTTGCACGACCATGTCGCTCAGCACCAAAAACTTTGGAAAGAACGTCACCTCGAAAACCAGATGATGATCCATTTCCATATTGCTTAATTTTTTTCCTAACGTTGCACATCAAAGTTAAGACCTCATTCATCATTGCATATCAACAAACAAGAAGAAATAAATGGTTAAAAATTACTTACAATAGTCTCTGCAGCAAGCAAATTGGATGGTCCACCACCCTTTTTAGTATGTGCTGCAATCCAAACATCACCTCTAGAAACTAGAGAAGGGTCTACACTTTTTCTTTTCTACAAAATAGAAACATAAATGTAGTAAACACACAGTAGAACACAGAATAAAATTAGTAAATTGTTCTTGTCCTGTAGAAAAGAAGGCACTAGAATGAAATGTAATTACCAAATCCTCCGCCAACCTACCATATCCCTTGCGACTACATGTGTGCGGAGTTGCTTAGACTTCATCTCTCTGAATGTTTCGCTTTTGTCCTATCAAAAGGAAACCAAAGATTCATATCACGTATCAATTAGCTAGCATGTACCAAATCTATCTTCAAACTAAATTAACATGCAATCAAGATAGAATCATACACATGTTTAACTAACACCAAATTCTTGTGTAGACAAGGCTTGGTGTTGAAATAGACTTTTAACTACTATCAGTTTGATTTCTCTGACCCAATTTTGAACTCAAAAGAAGATAACTAATCTTAGAAATAAAAGAAAAGGAAAATGAGCTTACACTTTGCAAGGGAAGTCTTCCAATCTTGAATTAATTTGACATTATTTGGTTTTAGACGAAGCCTTGCTTTCCAATTTCTTGCTTCTCTTATGGACTTCACAACTACTGATATATGTGATCTGCAAACATTATTCATCCTTTCAAAACAATATGTTCTTTGCCAATCTTCACTTAATACGAATTTACTCTCTGATTTGATAAAATATCCATAACATTTACCAAAAAATATATATTAACACAAGTAAAATTTATAAACTATAAATTGTTCACCTTGAAGTAGAGGGATCAGAATTGACTTATCTGCATATTACCTTGATTAGGATGTCCTTTGTTTTCTTAGGAACATCCTTCCAAGTATCAAATGTTATAGGGACAACCTCTCGGACCAAAGAACCCATGTAAGAAGATAAGTCAATAGATCCGTCACCAATAAACTGGCCGTTTTCATTCCATTCAATCTCAATTCGTTGACCATCATTTGTGGAAATTGTCTTCATTCTAGTAGGACCCCTCTTTCTTTTAGTTTGATTCGACTCCTCTGTAAATAGGTCATCTGGTACTTCTTCGTCCTCTTCTTGTAAGATCTCAGGTGCAATATCAACATAATGTTCTTTAGATCGGCCTGAAAGCCGCGATCTTTTCTTTCTTGGAAAAATCATCCTCAACTAATGAACCTGGAAAACAAATACTGATATTACATATTTAACAGAATTTTGTTATAGAAACTATTGTTGTACTCATGATTATAAAGAATTAAAAAATGTCTATACTCATGATTATAAAGAATTGAAAACTGTACAGTCAATGATGCTGCCCTTAAATTAGTGAGAGTCATGTGTATTTCATACATGAATCATATCCATGTAATGCACTCCACAAATTTGTAAAGGAAAAAGAATCTTGGGTAATTTGGACATGTAATCAAAATTATGTATAAATATGGATCTAAAATTACGCGTCAATACATGCTTATTTTTCAGTATTGTATGTATGAGAGTAAACAATGAAAGTATAAAAGCAATAAACACCCCTTCAAAAGAAAAATATAAATGCCAACAGCACCCTGCTACTAGGGCTCTACAACTTTGTCTTGGCCATCTTATCAACAAAACATAATACACATAAGAACGATTGACTAGTGTAATTGAAACACACTAGAGTCTTAAAAAGAAGAGGCTAGCCACCACCAGTTACATGGCATCTAAAAAAAATCCTTCTTTTGAGCATATAAAGATCTTTATGAAGAATGTAATGGCTAAAAGAATTTTTACTTCAAATGGCAGGCATTCACATATAAGTAATTAAAAGTAACAGGATTTACCTTTACATAAAATGCCTTAGACTTTGTACTCTTCAGGATCCATCCACTTTGTAGATAACTACTCATCTCAGGGCATCCACCAGTTTGCTACAACCAGAACACAAAACCAACCAAAATACCATACAATTTCTGTAAGAACTACATATGACCTGAAAGAGTTATCTCCACTATCAAAGACTGAAAAATAGTCAGTCAATGCACATATATTCATGCAAATATTTTTTGGAATATCATGTCTCGTATTACAGAGTTCTGAAATAATGATAAACTAGTTTCAATCATTGAAGTCATCTCCCTAAAAAGGATGGACCAAACCATCATTAACAGCGGCAATTACAAACCTCGGAATTACAACACCGGGGTATTGCTTGATGTGGTGCAAAGACTCACAATCGATTCTAACTATAAAGCCATAGCAACATTTTGATTGCAGTTTCCCACAAATCAAAGTTCAAAGTAATTAAACTTCAGAAAGTGGATTAATCATCCTCAAACCCAGGCAACCAAGAAAACAATTACAAACCTAACTGAGATTCTCAACCAAATTTATTACCTAAAATCCCTTAAAATTACAGTGATAGAACAAATCTAAGAAAAGCACCATAAAGTTGAGACTAAACAAAAATCTAGAGGGGACAGGATAGGGTTGATACAGATTGAGAGCATACCTAAAGTTTTGGAGAACGAAATGCCGCAAAGCACCCTGTATTGGGGATTTCAGATCTTGAATGGCGGGGCACTTCGACGGTGACGGAAAGCAGATGGGCGACGGTGACGACGAGCAGACGAATCGACGGTGATGACGAGCATATAGAGCGACGGCGAGCAGATGGAGCGAGATCGATGGAGAGGAGAGAGTTACGATGTCAGTGAGAAGGGAAGGGGGTGGGCTCTCGACAATTAATATTGGGTAAATGAAAATGCAATTGCAATGTTTGTCTTTCAAGTTTACCAAGAAAATACAAACCTTTTAACATTGAACTTTAACGAAAAACTTTCGGCACTGTTCACTTTAACGAAAAATCATATTTTAACACTAAAAAGTCAATTTTGGTACTATTCATTTTACCTTTTATTTTATCCTTATCGTTAAAACTCAAAGTTTTCAAATATTTCATTAATTTTTCTTTTAACATTTGAGGGGAATTTAACAAAAAAAATAAAAAATAAAAAAAGAAGCGGCTAAATAAAAAAGAGAAGGCGCGAGAATGAATTAGTGCGCGGGCTTCTTTACCACAAAACTTCTGTGCTAAAAGCCATTATTTACGACGTGTTATTTGCGCCATAAAAGGTACAACCCAAATATATAGAAAGTCAACTTCACGACATAACGCAAAGCTTTAAAAGAAAAAGAAAGTGCGTAGTATAAATTGTCAAATACGACACACAATGTTTAAATTGTGAATAATTTTATTTACAACTTGCACAAAAGTGACGCCGTGAATGATAGATTCTGCACAAGTATTACGACATGAGCTTTATAAATCTTGTGAATAATATCATTTAAGGCATGTCAGTACTGTACACCTTGTATATCTGTGTGTGATTTTGATTTCTTTGGTTCTGGATGGATTTTGATTTCTTTGATTCTGGGTGGATTTTGATTTCTTTGATTTATGGGTTTGTTAGGTACTCAAGCCTAAGGGAAGAGCCCAACTCAAAAGACTAGTCCAATAGGTGGGAGGACCCCTTGCACTTAAGTACCACTACACAATTTCTTGTGTAGCCGATGTGGGATCATAACATTACACCACATTTCGAAAGACCCAACGTCCACGGTGGCACCAGTCGGCAAGTCCCCCGTCGCCAAGGTATAAAATATCGATGATATCGGAAATATCGGTAGTCCAAAAACACGGAAATATCGATTGAAATATCGGGATATTATCGATATCGATAAAAATAATATGGAAACCACAGAAATTGTAAGAAAAACTTGGAAATTTTTATTGAAACTTTGCAGGATGTTTATTTAGTCAATTATCTATTAGTTTTGTAGACATCGAAATTTCGGTAAATAAATGTTGACCGATAAATCAAAGTGTCAACGCTCATGTATTACATAAATTTTACACGTAGCGTGTGACTAAACGAAAATTGAAATGAGTTGGAAAAGTCATCAAATAGGACACGTGTCAACACCTGGCAGAAACGACTTATTTCATCTGGGATATTATATTCAAAATTAGGCCTTGGAAAATTCTATAAATACAAGCCCATTTCATTCATTTAGGGGGGACCAATTCATATTACACCTTGAAGCTCTGAAGCTCTGAAACTCCGAAGCTCTCAAGCGTCCAGGTTCCCGAAGAATCAAGAAAGTGTTCTTCGTTCATCGTTCTTCCAAGATCAAGCCTCGACAGCCCTTGGATCAACAATCATCCACCTTCAAGATCAAGCCCCGACGGCCCTTGAAGAAAGCGTTCTTTGTTCTTCGTTCATCGTTCTTCCAAGATCAAGCCCCAACGGCCCTTTGGATCAACAATCATCCACCAATTCAAGATCAAGCCCCGACGGCCCTTGAAGAAAGTGTTCTTCGTTCTTCGTTCATCGTTCTTCCAAGATCAAGCCCCGACGGCCCTTGGATCAACCATCCACCAATTCAAGATCAAGCCCCGACGGCCCTTGAAGAAAGCACCATCGTTCATCATCCGTTCATCCAAGATCAAGCCCCAACGGCCCTTTGGATCAACAACTTCGACAAATCCACACATCCAACCGTTCTTCAAGATCAAGCCCAAAAGCCCCTTTAAAGATCCGCTCAAATCCACCTTCAAGATCAAGTCCACGGCCCTTGAAGAACGTTCATCCTTAGATCAAGCCCAACGGCCCTTTGGATCAATCACACATCCACAAATACACACCTTACGGAGATTGAATCAGAGGATCAAATAGAGAGAGATTGTAACCCAAAATCATCAAATACATAATATTTGTTTGTGCACGTTCGTTCTTGTCTCTTTCGTTTCAGGAATTTTCCGTGTTCACAAATTGGCACGCCCGGTGGGACAATCTCTACCTCTCATCTCTTTCTTCGTTCAAGGAATCCAAGCACACCTCAAAGTCAATGGCATCAAGCAAAGGACAAGCCATTCTCGCAACCACTGAGGGAAGGATCCTAAGCACTTCTGCCGCAAACAGACAATCCATTGGCGCCACAACCGCTCCCCAACATGCTACTTCAAAATTGGTGCCGCTAAAAGAGCAAGGGGAGCATCCAAGGTGCGAGTCTGTCATCAACCTGACCTCGCTGGGGGCACCGAAGCATGATGCTGAGGCACATAAGATGACATCCCAAAGCAGCCAACGACGTTCTTCATCAGCATCCTGGATGTCTAAAGGAAAGTCACGTATATTGGTCGCACAAGTCATGACTATCGGCGTTACCTCCGTTGAAGAACAACTGGCTCAGATGAATGAAGCAATCGCAAGGCTGACCCGAACGGTGGAAGAAAAAAGACTTGCAAATTGCAGCACTCGTCAATCGACTAAAGGCGCAGGACGGCGATAAACCCGACCCAGAGAATGATCCACTAAAGAGAAGAGATGACGAAGAAGATGAGCCTCAGGTGGAGAAAAACGATGCAAAGCCGGAGCCAGACCAAGCAGCGGCACTCATGGGATCTCTTTCTATCCAGCAGCTGCAATAGATGATCACCAACACCATCAAGGCACAGTACGAAGGGAGCTCAAATACCTCCGGGTTGTACTCGAAGCCGTATTCAAAGAAAATCGACGCCTTAAGGATGCCGAAGGGTTATCAACCGCCAAAGTTCATGCAATTTGATGGAAAGGGAAACCCGAAACAACACATTGCCCACTTTGTTGAAACTTGCAACAACGCAGGGACCGAAGGGGACTACCTCGCCAAGCAGTTTGTGCGCTCACTAAAAGGAAACGCCTTTGAGTGGTACACTGACCTAGAGCCTGAGTCCATCAACAACTGGGAGCAATTGGAGCGGGAATTCCTCAACCGCTTCTACAGCACTCGCCGCACTGTGAGCATGCTAGAGCTAACAAGCACAAAGCAGTGGAAGGACGAGCCAGTCATTGACTACATCAACAGATGGCGCACTCTAAGCCTCGACTGTAAAGACAGGCTCTCGGAAACCTCTTCAATCGAGATGTGCATCCAAGGCATGCAATGGGGTTTGCAATACATCCTTCAAGGCATTAAACCGCGGACCTTCGAGGAATTGGCCACTCGCGCCCATGACATGGAGTTGAGCATCGCCCATCATGGGAAGAAAGAACCAATCGCCGACTACAAGAACGACAAAGTTCTTGGGACAAAGGTGGAAAAGGCTGCATGGAAACCCACCAAGGAAGCGATGACGGTCAACACATCTCCCGTCAAAATATCCACACGAGGCAAGGCGATTCAAACCGAAGCTTTTCGTGATCAAGAAATGCGTAGACGCACTTTAAAGGAGCTTGAGGAGAAGACTTATCCATTCCCCGACTCTGATGTGGTTGCCATACTGGATGACCTGTTGGAAAAGAAGGTGATTGGTTTGCCTGAGTGCAAACGGCCAGAAGAGATGAATCGCACCGACAGTCCAAAGTACTGTAAATTCCACCGCTTCATCAGTCATCCGACAGAAAAATGTTTCGTGCTGAAAGATCTCATCATGAAGCTGGCTCAGAAAGGAATCATCGAGCTAGATCTTGACGAAGTGGCAAAGTCAAACTATACCACCTTCACTTCTGGCTCTTCCGACTCAAAGTTTTCACCTCAACCGCTGGGGGCATCGTCCAAGACAAGCAAAATTGAAGGATGGACTCAAGTCACTCCTAAGAAATTGCACAAGAAGCATACGTCTCCTCCACAAGTCCGCCAATTGAAAAGGGGGCAAAGCAGCTATTGTCAACCTTCAAAGCAACGTGAACGTGTTGAAGATGATGAAACTACGACACAAAGATTGTCTGTTGCCATCACGATGCGCGACTTTTTACCCGAAGACTTCTTCAATCACGCGGTCAAGGCTCCTTGCTATGAAGATTGTGAGGAACAACTCTCTCGGATCGCTTGACGAACCAACAATGCTCCTTGTTCGCACGAGCCTAAACTGCACGAACCAAAGCTCCTTGTCTGTAAGAGCCTAAACTACAAGACACCAACGCTCCTCGCCTGCATGAGCCTAAACTGCAACACGGCATCAAATGCTCCTTGTCTGCACGAGTTGAAACTGCGAACGACACCAAATGCTCCTTGTTTGCACGAGTTGAAACTGCGAACGACACCAAAGGCTCCTCGCCTGCACGAGCCTAAACTGCACGAACCAACGCTCCTGGCCTACACGAGCATAAAAGGCAACACCAACGCTCCTTGTATGCAAGAGTTGGAACTGCAAACGACACCAACACTCCTTGCCTGCATGAGTTAAAACTGCAAACGACACAAAAAGAAAATACCAAAAATGTATTTGAACTACGTTGCGACTTGATCTCTTCTTTGGAGGGGTACGTAGGCAGCTCGAATGTTCAATTTTTTCGAGTTCAGTCACATAAAAAAAAAAATTAAAAAATTAAAAAAAAAAAAAAAGATTTCTTTTACATACATATACATACAAATATATATATGTATATCCATCAGCAGCAAGCCTCTCAAAAGGAGGCCATCCAGGCCCAAGTGTCAGCCTCCAAGCCCAATTCGTCATCTCCCTTGCCCATGGCTTCACCGTACCTCTTCAACCAAACCTAGATCTCTCCAAAGCAACACTAAGCCCAAACTGGCACACAGCCCAAACGCAGAGCCCGTAGCCTCAAAACGACATATCTGAAGCACAAGTCCTCGAACAGATGGGGAGGATGGGTAGCAATTCGAGGCTTCACTCGGCGAATCCGAACGACTACAAGCTTCTGGAAGAGGTCGGATATGGCGCCAGCGCAACGGTTTACAGAGCGATCTATCTCCCTTTCAATGAAGTCGTCGCCGTCAAGTGCTTGGATCTCGATCGGTGCAATAGCAATTTCGAGGATATCCGGAGGGAGGCGCAGACGATGAGATTAATAGATCATCCCAATGTCGTGAGGGCGTTTTGTTCATTTGTCGTTGAAAGAAACCTTTGGGTGATCATGCCACTTATGGCAGAGGGTTCTTGTTTGCACCTCATGAAAATCGCATATCCGGATGGGTTTGAGGAGTCGGTGATTGGTTCTATTCTTAAGGAAACTCCTCCTCGATAACTGCGCTCGAATCCGTACGGGCAATGCTGAATTGGGTGCGACTGAACTGAAATGGAAGCCCTTCCATCCGCCCAAATCCAGCGCTTGATCGTCACCGAGAACCCAATCAACACAGCCCACTACAAGCACTCCCGAAATGCTAAACCCACCACGAAGGTGGCCGTCACCCACAAGGTGTTCGACAAAATGCCCCACTCAGATACCTTTGCATGGAACAGACTTATCCAGACCCATATCGCCAATGCCGACTTCCACCACGCCCTCGCCACTTACCACCAAATGCTCATCCGCGCGTTCGTCGCCCGACAGACACACTCTTCCTCGCGTCTTGTCTGCCTCTCGCCTTTCGGTTGATCTCTCCCTCGGCAAGCAACTCCATGCCCACGCTCACAAGCTCGGCTGCTCTGGTGACCGGTACGTGGTTGCTGCTCTCATTGAGTTGTACGGTCGCCTCGACAGCGCGGACTCCGCGAAAGGGCTGTTTGACAAGTCCCTGGTTACGGACTCTGTTTCATGGACAATGCTGGCCAGGCTGTACATTGCGGAAGGTAAACCCGGCAAGGCGGTTCATGTGTTTGAGAGAATGGTGGAGTCCGGAGCACAGATAGATTCTGTGGCTGTGGCGACGGCGGCTGGTGCCTGTGGCATGTTGAGATCGTTGATTGATGGAACAAAAGTCCACAGGGTTGCCAAGGAACGTGGATTGGAGTATGATGTGTTGGTGAGCAATACCATCTTGAAAATATACATGGACTGTGGCTGTGTCGACGAAGCTTGGGCAGTTTTCAACCAAATACCGGAGAAAGATGTCATTTCTTGGACAGAAATGATTCATGCCAATGTGAAGAGGGGATGCTTCAATGAGGGTCTTAAGCTGTTTAGGCAGATGGTTGGAGACGGGGTGAAACCTGATCCGCTCTCGGTCTCTAGTGTTCTCCCAGCATGCGCAAGAATGTCTGCAGGTAAACATGGCAAAAGAGACTCATGGATTCTTGCTGCGACATGGTATTCGAATGAATCTCACCGTTCTGAATGCTCTTATGGACATGTATGTCAAGTCGGGATTTATCAAATCAGCTGCAAAAGTTTTTGCCAGGGTCGAAGTACAAGAGATCTTGTTTCGTGGACAGTGATGATAACTGGGTACAGCTTACACGGACAAGGAAAGATCGGAGTAGATTTATTCTGCCAAATGGAGAAGGAAACGAGTACACAGATCGATGAAATCACCTATGCTGCTGTCCTTCATGCTTGCGTTGCAGCACGCATGGTCGAGGAAGGGAAGTTTTACTTCAACTGCATCAAGACACCTACAGTTGCACATTGTGCTTTGTTCGTAACTCTTCTATCGCGTTCTGGGCTGTTTTATGAGGCAAAGAACTTTATTGCCGATAAAAAAGACCGCAGCGGATCCCGTCATGCCTGAACAAGAGCTCAAGGACTACGAGATCAACCTTAAGGATTGCAGGCCCATGGTGCTCGACGCCCTCTTCATGCTTTTCTCGTCAAAATCACCTCGCCAGTACCTGCACCAGTATCTTAAAACTCCTCGAGGTCCTGCCATGGCGTCTCTGTCCGTCACAGCTGCCCTGTCCTCCTCCGTCTCTTGCCTCGCAGCTGCCACCAACTTCAAAGACCGCTGTCAAACGACTAGCCGGCCGAGAAGCTCTTCCTCAAACTCCGGCTCTCCGTCCGTCTTCGTCCTTCCCTACAAAATCCCTCAGCCAAGCATCCTAATTTATACAAAAAAAAAAAAAATGTGGTAGAGCAAAGCAGAGTGGTGCTGTCACCACGTGAAAAAAAAAGGGGCGTGCATCTGGCACCACGTGAAAAAAGAAAAGAGAGTGGTGGATCAAGCACCATGTGAAAGCAGACGAAAAAGAAATAATAATAATAAATTAATAAATAAATAAATTAATTAATTAATTAAAAAAAAAAAAAAGGTGAATTCTTGGTGGCTAGCACCATGCAAAAAAAAACAAAGGGAAAATGGGTTTTGGGATGGTGGATCACTCCACGTGAAAATATATATATATGTATGTATATATGTATGTATAAATGTGTGTGTATAATATATACAGCAAAAAAAAAAAAAAAAAAAAAAGCATTAAGAGAAATAAAAATCCATTTTATTTATTTTTTCTGGAAATTTTACATAAAATTGCATTCTACATACCAAAAAAAAAAAAAAAAAAAAAAAAAAAAAAAATTTACAAATGTGCAAACAAACGGGAGGGAGTCTTTATTGCTCAGGTGGTGTCTCAGTGCTCGGTGGAGCTCTAGGGAAAAGAGACGTCGGAGGTTGACTGTTTGAAGTCACACCACTCGGTGGAACTCCAGAAAGAAGAGGGGCTGGAGGTTGATCATGAGGAGCTTCACTACGCGGTACAGCCCCAGAAGACAAAGGCAAATGCTGTTGGAACGAACCCACAAACCGCTGATGATCAAGTAAAATCTGACCATCAGATTCCTGCATCTGGTCAATCTTCATCTTCATGTTTGTGGCATAGTTGTGTGCAAGCTTGTGCAACTGTTTATTCTCATGCTTGAGCCCTCTAATCTCCTGTTTAAGACTCATCACTTCAGCCGCCAACGATTCAACTTGACGGGTTCGAGCAAATAGGCGTTGGGCCATGTTGGACACAGAACCCGCACACTGCACACTGAGAGCCAGAGAATCCTTAACAGCCAACTCATCAGACCGTTTGGAAAGTAGTCTGTTATCTCTGGGAGTGACAAGGTTTCGGGCCACCACCGCAGCGGTCATATCATTCTTCACCACCGAATCCCCAACAGTAAGAGGACCAGTAGGGGATATGAAGGATGGGCGCCATATGTTATCTGGAGAAGACGGGACTACATCTTCACCAAAGTTCAAATCAAAACGACGGTCGGAGGGTCCAGACATTTTCAAAGTGTTGAAGGAAGAAGAGGTCAGACGAATCAAGATCTTAGAAGTGCAAGAAGGGAGTTTTCACAAGTAAAATTCAAGTGTGCTTTGAAACGAACAGCATGCCTCTATAAAAAATCAACACTCGACGGGATTTCAGAGATCGAAGAGGCGAGCTCAGAATTCGAAGAGGCCATTCAAAAATCGAAGAGGCAAGCTCAGAAATCGAAGAAGCATCTTGCTTTTCCAGACGCGTCAGCACCCGTCACACGCAAGCTCAGCTTTGCGAAAATCACGGGCAATTTGTCGAAGTGCCGATCCCAGACATCGAAGAGACGCCAGTCTTTTCCAGACACGTCAGCACCCATCACACGCAAACTCAGCTTTGCGGAAATCACGGGTAATTTGTCGAAGCGCAGATCCCAGTTATCGAATAAGCGCCAGTCTTTTTCAGCCGCGTCAACACCTATCACATGCACACTCAGCTTGGCGGAAATTACGGACAGTTTGTCGAAGATTTCTGATAAAGAAGGAAGCACGTGAAGCCATATAGATCAATCACGCATTGGTTGCCGACACGAGTGAAAGAATAGTACATCTACAGGTATCAAAGAACTTCCTATAATTGTCTACCTTCGCCTTCCATAGCAAGGCAGACACACAAAGTCTTTCTTCATCTCCAAAGATGTTTTCCCAACGAAGCCTCTCGAGTCATTCAGTGTTCCTTATTCCTTGGGGTACCTCTGCAAGCCAATGACTCCAAAGCAAAAGTATCTCATATCACCAGGGTAGAAAGCAAGAGTATCTCATATCATGCGTTCTCCCTGTCCTTTCCTTTGTCCTTGTTCTTACCTACAAAGACAAGGATAAAAAAAACAATATGCCGGAACTTCCACTCAAACTCGGGTAAGGAACCGACTGCTTGGAACCCTTCCCTGATTGCCTACCTAGCACTGCTCTCGAGTACTCGCCTCCCGCTGCTACTGTACTTTCAAAGAAGCTGCCACATTTGCCCGGAGAACAGATAAGGCAAGTGAAAATGATACCTTGCAGCATGTGGAGACAACGTGCAGAATGAACAAGCAGAGAAGAATGCAGCATGAACAGTCAACTCAGCAGAAAGAGTCTGAGATGAAGAACTCGAGAAGATGCCACATCTGCCTGAGGAATAGATAAAGGAAATAAAGATGATACCTTGAAGCATGTGGAGACAAGCGCAACAAAGCACGTGCTGATTCATCCACTACTTCTTCAAAAGCAAGAGTATCTCATATCATCAAAGTTGCAATCACTCTGACGGTGAATCCGTTTTGACCCTCAAATTCTTGGGTCGGCTTACTAGGCGTTGTGGGCTGCACGTGCCGATTCACCACCCTTGAATCAAATCCTTAAAGATCAAGTCACCAACTGGAAGAAGAGCCCATCAATCTTGAGGATCATACCGTTGACCAAACTGCTCAGGTGTGAATTAGAAAGATTGAACAAAGCAACAAGTCGTCACCTTCACCTCGTGCCTGCTTGCCATATGTTCGAGTCAACCTTCAAGAATCAAGCCTCGACGGCCCTTGAAGAAGTTTCCAACCAAATTCAAGATCAAGCCTCGACGGCCATCGAGGAAATCACAAGTCCGATTCAAGATCAAGTGTCTACCACCCTTGAATCAAAACCTAGTTCAAGAATAAGCTGTGGAAAATCAACAATTGGAGGAATCCAGAAAATCCTCCAACCCAGTTCAAGATCAAAGCTGTGGAAAGTCAACAAGCGCAATAAAATACGTGCCGATTCATCCACTACCAAAGCCAAAGATCATCTACCACATGAAGCTCCTTGTGGCCCAATTTCAACCTTCAAGATCAAGCCTCGACGGCCCCTGAAGAAATTTCAAACAAAAATTCAAGATCAAGCCTCAACGGCCCTTGAAGAAATCTCAAGCCCAATTCAAGATCAAGCTTCAACGGCCCTTGAATCGGCATCTACGGTAAGGGACTTCAAAACGCATCTCCTACACGTGACAAGCACAGGTATACGACGTGCCTTGAAGTGGGGGCATTTGTAGACATCGAAATTTCGGTAAATAAATGTTGACCGATAAATCAAAGTGTCAACGCTCATGTATTACATAAATTTTACACGTAGCGTGTGACTAAACGAAAATTGAAATGAGTTGGAAAAGTCATCAAATAGGACACGTGTTAACACCTGGCAGAAACGACTTATTTCATCTGAGATATTATATTCAAAATTAGGCCTTGGAAAATTCTATAAATACAAGCCCATTTCATTCATTTAGGGGGGACCAATTCATATTACACCTTGAAGCTCTGAAGCTCTGAAACTCCGAAGCTCTCAAGCGTCCAGGTTCCCGAAGAATCAAGAAAGTGTTCTTCGTTCATCGTTCTTCCAAGATCAAGCCTCGACAGCCTTTGGATCAACAATCATCCACCTTCAAGATCAAGCCCCGACGGCCCTTGAAGAAAGCGTTCTTTGTTCTTCGTTCATCGTTCTTCCAAGATCAAGCCCCAACGGCCCTTTGGATCAACAATCATCCACCAATTCAAGATCAAGCCCCGACGGCCCTTGAAGAAAGTGTTCTTCGTTCTTCGTTCATCGTTCTTCCAAGATCAAGCCCCGACGGCCCTTGGATCAACCATCCACCAATTCAAGATCAAGCCCCGACGACCCTTGAAGAAAGCACCATCGTTCATCATCCGTTCATCCAAGATCAAGCCCCAACGGCCCTTTGGATCAACAACTTCGACAAATCCACACATCCAACCGTTCTTCAAGATCAAGCCCAAAAGCCCCTTTGAAGATCCGCTCAAATCCACCTTCAAGATCAAGTCCACGGCCCTTGAAGAACGTTCATCATTAGATCAAGCCCAACGGCCCTTTGGATCAATCACACATCCACAAATACACACCTTACGGAGATTGAATCAGAGGATCAAATAGAGAGAGATTGTAACCCAAAATCATCAAATACATAATATTTGTTTGTGCACGTTCGTTCTTGTCTCTTTCGTTTCAGGAATTTTCCGTGTTCACAAGTTTATCACAAAAAATTGGAAGGAAATGCATTGCATGATGGATTTAACTGATTTAAGTTGATTATATAGCGAGCTGGCAAACATTGTGAGTATAGAAAATATGTAGTAATTAATTAAAGAAGTTTAAACACACCATAATCATTTATATATAATGAATTAGTACAAAAAGAATTCAAAACAAAATCATATATATAAATATTTTAGCATATTTTCACAAAAACATAAGTGATATTTTAGCATATTTTAGCATATTTTCATAATAAAAGAATGATAAAATGAAAAAAAAGTATCCAACAAACAAGTCCAAAATTTAAAAACACATAATTTTAAGATAATTGATTTTACATCCTACTTTAATAAAAACGAACGCCTAAGACAAAGAAACTAAAAGAAAAGAAAAACATAAAAGAAACAAATAAATTAAAATAAACAAATAATAAAACAAAAAGAACAAAAAAGAAAAAGGAAAGGGCTCACTTGGATTCGAAA